CTTCAGGGTTTAGGGTTTAGGGTCTAGGGTTTAGGGTCTAGGGTTTAGGGTCTAGGGTTTAGGGTTTAGGATTTAGGGTTTAGGGTTTAGGGTTGAGGGCTGTCGGTTCCGTGAAGCACCACCACCTACAACCTTAACACTCCCCAGACCTGAACCCAAAAAGCCGAAACCCTAAGCACCATAAGACCTGAGCCCAAACATCCCTGAAGGTCAGGGTCCTCGAAGAAGAGGCGCCCGCCCGTCTGCAAAACCCCGCGCTGTTTCGAAGGGGCGAGCAAGGAGAACAACTCCATCTCGCATGGCTGGCCACCACTGGGCTGCACGTGGATGCCGCCTCCCGCCAGGGCACTTAGAATTTGCTAACCCACTTGTAAGCCCCTTAAGTGCCCTAATATGGTGATAAGTACAGTTAGAAGTACAGTTCTAATTGGTTAAGAAGTACCATGAACCTCCAAGCAGGCGCCAGCATTTCAGGGTTCAAGGCTTCCCTAAATTGCTCGTATTCGATATCAACATCCGATTATGATCTAGGGAGTGCTCCTTAATCCAGGGGCTCTGGAGGTTTTTGGGAGGGTTGAGGAGGATGAGGGTTTCAGATGTTCAGGGGGTTCAGAGGGTTGAGCGTTGAGGGTTGAAGGTTTAGGGTTTAGGCTTGGTTTAGGGTTTAGGGTTTAGGGTTTAGGGTTTAGGGTTTAGGGTTTAGGGTTTAGGGTTTAGGGTTTAGGGTTTAGGGTTTAGGGTTTAGGGCTTAGGGTTTAGGATTTAGGGCTTAGGGCTTAGGGCTTAGGGCTTAGGGCTTAGGGCTTAGGGCTTAGGGCTTCGGGCTTAGGGCTTAGGGCTTAGGGTTTAGGGCGCGGGCTTTTTAGGTCGATTCAGACCTTGGGCCTTCAAGGCATCTCGACACCCGAAAGCCCCATCACCCTCCAAGCCTCCTAGACCCCACACCTCGGGTTTAGGGTTTAGGGTTTAGGGTTTAGGGTTGAGGGTTGAGGGTTGAGGGTTGAGGCTTTAGGCTTTAGGGTTGAGGGTTGAGGGTTTAGGGTTGAAGGTTTAGGGTTTCGGGTCGAAGGGTTTAGGGTTTACTTAGGGCCAAACATGCCCACAAATTCCAAACCTCCAAACCTCCAAAAGCCTGAACTCTGTTTCCATTCTACTATGTACCCAAAAGAGCAAAAGAAGAGGGAGCCTAAAAACCCACTCCGATGTCATGTCACGTGACTTCGGACGGGGCCGAAGATATATTGAGGCTGCAGCAATGTGACAGATTTTGTACAGGTCTCCGGAAGCTTTCAACTGGTTGCCCCTTGCCCAAGGTATTGAAGCCCTGAAGCTGCGTGCCCTCCAGCGGTCAAGGAGATAACTCCGTGGACCACGCTTGCAGCGTCCACAGCGCTTCACTTTGTATGCGTCACTCATCAGCCCAACCAGGAGCGATGCCGGCGGGGTCCCACCCCCAGCAAAAAGCGACTTGCTCAGCCTCTTCGACAACTTGAGGTTTGCTTCGTACTCGGACATGTCGAACAGCAGCTCGGGGCGACAAGATGCGACAACAGATCACAGGCAAGATGCTCGGACTTGAACTACCACAGACACGGACACAGACTTGCAACTTAGGGTTTAGGGTTTAGGGTTTAAGGTTTAAGGTTTAGGGTTTAGGGTTTAGGGTTATTATAAATACAAAACCCTAAACCCTAAACCCTCTATGACTATGGCATGACGGCGACGCGGCTTTTTTGAAGAACATCCGGAGCCCCTAAGAAGCCCCGGATTGCCAGAACGCCAAAGCCTCAACTCCTAAACTCCTGGACCCCTAAAAGCCTGAAACCCTACATCCCTAAACCCCAAGACCTCTTAAGCCTGAAACCCTAAAGCCTGAGCCCTCCTAAGTCCATAAACCCGAAAACCCTAACCTAAAGCGAGCTGCAGGCGCTGCAGTAAGCAGCAGCGAGCGTGCAGGGGAGCCCCCGAAGGAGCTCCGTTAACTGCATCTGCAAGGTGCCGACGCACGGCTCCAAAACCTTGGGAGCGTCCAAACTTTCTACGGGCCTCCAAGCGCCTCAAGGCGCCTCCAGGGGACCAGGACCCTTTCAAAGCTTCCCGGAAGCCTGCTGGATCAACTCTCAAGACAAGCTGCTCTTCGGAGAGCCCCCTTGACCGAAAAACTCTGACGCCCCCCCCCCCCCCCTTGAAAGGGAAAGGCGGCCTTCGAAAATGGCTTGGAATGAGAGGCATTGGGGGGTCCTGCGACCTTGCTTGACAGCAGGTCCCTCAAAGCCCAAGCTGCCCGGCAAAGGGAAGCCAGTCGCACACTACAACACACGCCCTGCGTGGCATTGTGCGCGGAGAATGTGACACGTCCTAAACCCGAAACCCTAAACCCTAAACCCCAAATCCTATCCCCAAGCCCTAAACCCTATACCCTAAACCCTACGTAGTAAACCCTAAACCCTAAACCCTAAACCCTAAACCCTAAACCCTAAACCCTAAACCCTAAACCCTAAACCCTAAACCCTAAACCCTAAACCCTAAACCCTAAACCCTAAACCCTAAACCTAAGCTCCCCCAAAACCCTCACGCGCACGGCCTCCACTCCTCTTGGCACTGCATCCCTGGCATCGGAACTCGCCTTACTTCTCCAAGAGCCTTAACAATAGCCACCCTAAGCCCTAAACCCTAAACCCTAAACCTAAGCCCTAAACCCTAAACCCTAAACCCGAAACCCGAAACCCTAAACCCCTAAACCCCACAGACCCTAAGTCCTACTAAAAAAGGAAACCCACAAAAAGCGTAAAGTTCAACTATTGGCGAAGCAAGTCGCCCGCGGAGATGTTGAAGGTGCGACAGGGCACGGCAAGGCCGCCTCTCTGCTTTCTGAGGGTTTAGGGTTTAGGGTTTAGGGTTTAGGGTTTAGGGATTCGGGCTTCAGGGTTTAGGGTTTAGGGATTAGGGTTTAGGGCTTAGGGCTTCGGGTTTAGGGTTTAGGGTTTAGGGTTTAGGGTTTAGGGTTTAGGGTTTAGGGTTTAGGGTTTAGGGTTTAGGGTTTAGGGCTCTCTGGGGTAGGGTGTTCGGGTTTTTTTAGGGCTTGTAGGGTTCAGGGCGTTTAGGGCTTTTAGAGCTTGCAGGGCGCGGGTTTCTAGGGGTTTAGAGTTTAGGGTTTAGGGTTCAGGGTTTAGGGTTTAGGGCTTAGGGCTTAGGGTTTAGGGCTTAGGGTTTACGGTTTAGGGTTTAGGGTTTAGGGTTTAGGGTTTAGGGTTTAGGGTTTAGGGCTGAGGCTTTAAGGGTTGAGGGTTTGTAAACCGTTACCGTTGAGGGTTTCGGGTTTCTTCAGGGCTTGTGGCCATTGGGGCTTGGGGTTCCTGTTGTGCTTAATTGTAGCAGAAGCCAAAAAGTTAGAAACTCAATAGCCTCAATCCCTAAGAGTAAGGCATTGGGAATATCGGCACTAGTTGTCCTTAACAAGGTTTCCAACTTTTTGGGGTTTACTGTAGGGCCCTTCAAGGTCAGGGTTCGGCCGTGAGCTGCAAAGACCTGACCTGAGCAGAGAAGACCCCGAAGAGCCCAGAATCTAGGTTTAGGGTTTAGGGTTTAGGGTTTGGGGTTTAGGGTTTAGGGTTTAGGGTTTAGGGTTTAGGGTTTAGGGTTTAGGGTTTAGGGTTTAGGGTTTAGGGTTTAGGGTGTAGTGTTTATGGTTTAGGGTTTAGGGTTTAGGGTTTAGGGTTTAGGGTTTAGGGTTTAGGGTTTAGGGTTTAGGGTTTAGGGTTTAGGGTTTAGGGTTTAGGGTTTAGGGTTTAGGGTTTAGGGGCCAGTAAACTTCCCTTAGATTGGCCCCAAGACCCGAAACCCTAAGTTGAAGGCTTAGGATGTATCGAACTTCAGGGTCTTCTTGTTTGTTTGACTCTAAACCCTAAACCCTAAACCCTAAACCCTAAACCCTAAACCCTAAATCCTAAACCCAACACCCCGAAAATGTCTCTCCAGGTCGGCCCTCAACCCGGGATTGACAAAAGGAAGCATTTTGGGCTCTAGGGCCTTGGGACTAAGTGACTAGCGATCTGGGGTTGAGGGTTTTGTTCGCTTTTCAGCCCCTAAACCCTAAGCCCTAAGCCCTAAACCCAAAACCCAAAACCCTAAACCCTAAACCCTAAACACTAAACCCTAAACCCTATAAGCCCTAAGCCCTCAAGCCTAAGCCCTAAGCCCTGCAGATCAGTCGGTATATTTCGCGTCGCGCTGCTCCCACCACAAGCGTGGATTTGGCCCTCACTTCGATGGATCGCTAAACCCTAAACCCTAAATCCTAAACCCTAAACCCTAAGCCCTAAACCCTAAACCCTAAACCCTAAACCCTAAACCCTAAACCCTAAACCCCAAATCCCTAAACCCTAAACCCTAAACCCTAAACCCTGAACCGAGCTACGGCCTTCATCTTCAACTGCTTGGCGTAACCCTGAAACCTGAACATTGCTACATTCGGAGTGAGCTGGCCAGGTTGCTGTTCAGGAACTTCGACTAAGTCTTTACCCCTAAACCCTAAACCCTAAACCCTAAACCCTAAACCCTAAACCCTAAACCCTAAACCCTAACCCATTTAAGTCACCACAGCAAGGCAACCATCCTCTAGCTATATGCCCATCGCAGCGTAACTTAATCTAAGTTGGAGTCCACTAACCTTAAACTCTGACCCCTAAACCCTAAACCCTAAACCCTAAACCCTAAACCTAAGTTCCTTGACAGCGACCTGCAGAGCGGCCTTAATCAGGCAGGTGCCCAACAAATCTTGGGCGCAGAGGGTCTAGGGTTTTCGGGTTTAGGGTTTAGGGGTTTAGGGGTTTAGGGTTTAGGGTTTCGGGTTTAGGGTCTAGGGTGTAGGGTTCGGGAAAAAAGGGGGGTGGGGGGGGGGGGGCGGGGTCCAAGTCTCTGTGCAGGTCGTAGGGGCCTGCCCCTTCGACCCGTACAAGCTGCCGGCGCTCTCCAAGCTACTGCGGGCATCTTGTCTAAAGCTAGTCCTCCTCCACATGGGGGTTGTACTGGATGTGGCCCAGTTTCAGCTGAACTTCATGCCGGGAGTAGGACGCCACGCTCATTGTCGCGAGGACGGTCCACCCGTGACCCAGCTCGCTCCTCAAGCGATCTAAGTCCGGCCGCGTTCTGCAGATGGCCTTCAACTCCTTGACAGTTATCGGTTCTTCCTTGGCCCGGGTTTTGACAGGGCAGACGAAAAGGAAACTTCTTAGCTTCTCTTGTCAAGAAATGTTCTGAAACCGGACTAACAAATGGCAAGAAGGGGGGGGAGAAGAAAGAAAAAAGAAGCCGGATGCTTAAAATTGAGCCTGCGTCCTTCATGTAAACAGCCGGCTCGCGCTGTTCGCCGTGCAGCTTTTCGCTGAAGATCACTACACGAGACCCAGGGTGGATCACGGGAGTGTCGTCGATCAGAGGACAAACCTTGCTTGGGTTGCAGGGTTTAGGGTTAGGGTTCGTTCTTAGAAGGGAACCTTACTAATTACTTAGTGCTTGATAGGGACTTAGGGGATTGGTAAGGGTTTAGGGCTTTATACTCCCCTATGTCGGCCTTTCACAGCCTAAACCCGAAACCCTAGGCCCTAGGCCCTAAGCCCTATATAGGGAACCTATTATAAGAACTGCTAAGACACGTTCTCCACGGGCCCCCGCCGAAACATTGGAGGAGCTGGTACAGCGGCGTCAGTCCACGGAACTCTTGGCGTACCGGTATGTCCTGCATAGGCCAGGCAATTGCCATGGGCTTTGGGCTCAAGGCTGGGGGTTGGGGGTTTAGGGCTTAGGTTTCGGGTTCAGGGTTCAGAGTTCAGGGTTTAGGGTTTAGGGCTTAGGGTTTAGGGTTTAGGGTTTAGGGTTTAGGGTTTAGGGTTTAGGGTTTAGGGTTTAGGGTTTAGGGTTTAGGGTTTAGGGTTTAGGGTTTAGGGTTTAGGGTTTAGGGTTTAGGGTTTAGGGCCCCGGGTCTAGGGTTTAGGGTTTAGGGTTTAGGGTTTAGGGTTTAGCGCTTAGGGTTTAGGGTTTGGGGTATGTCCTTCATAGGCCACGCCACATGCACATCGCACCAGTTGCTCCTCAAGAGTCACGGCTGCCATCTGCCTTGGTATGTTGGCCAACCCCAACCGAGCCATACTCTAACCCTAAACCCTGAACGCTAAACCCTAAACCCTAAACCCTAAACCCTAAACCCTAAACCCTAAACCCCCCTAAACCCTAAACCCTAACTAAAACCCGAAACCCCTCAACCTCTAAACCCTTCCCTCCTGATCTCTCTAAGACTGCGGAGCTGCAGCTCCTCCAGGTTTGGCCACAAGAGCGACCCGTCGCATCCCTGCATCTGCAGCATCACCAAGAGGGGATCCTTAGTGGATTCTGCGGGGAATCTGTATGGGTTTAGGGTTTAGGGTTTAGGGTTTAGGGTTTAGGGTTTAGGGTTTAGGGTTTAGGGTTTAGGGTTTAGGGTTTAGGGTTTAGGGTTTAGGGTTTAGGGTTTAGGGTTTAGGGTTTAGGGTTTAGGGTTTAGGGTTTAGGGTTTAGGGTTTAGGGTTTAGGGTTTAGGGTTTAGGGTTTAGGGTTTAGGGTTTAGGGTTTAGGGTTTAGGGTTTAGGTTTAGGGTTGAGGGTTTAGGGTTTAGGGCTTAGGGCTTAGGGCTTAGGGCTTAGGGTTGAGGGTTGGGTGTTGGATAGGGTTACATAGTGTTATGTCGGATTGCATAGGGTTCCGTGGGGCTGTGAGGCGACGTACGCTTTTCGGAATCTGCATAGGCTTCCAGCAAAACTGCAGGGTTTAGGGTTTAGGGTTTAGGGTTTAGGGTTTAGGGTTTAGGGCTGAGGGTTTCCAAACCCTAAACCCTTGAAATCTTTAAACTTGATTCCAAGTCAACCAAAGGATCCAGGGTCTCGGCCACCGCCACGACCTCCTCACCCACCTCCTTCAGGTCGAGGGCCGGATACAGCTTGGTAGCGTTCCCGGCAGCCACGAAACCTTGGTGGCTCCCAGCAAGCATCTTACAACCCTGTACCCTGAAACCCTGAAACCCTGAAACCCTGAAACCCTGAAACTTGAAACCCTAAACCCTAAACCCCAAAGCCCTAAGCCCTAAACCCTAGACCCTAAGCCTCGAATTTCAGGGGTGCCCCCACGTTTTGGGGGACATGGGACCTGAAGCCCTGAACCCTAAATGAAGCTGTAAAACCTGGCCCGAACCCGCGAAATCCACTGTACCAAGGTACGACAGCAGGCAGCCCCCAAGCCCTAAACCCTAAACCCTAAACCCTAAACCCTAAACCCTAAACCCTAAACCCTAACCCCTAAACCCCTAAACCCCTAAACCCCTAAACCCTAAACCCTAAACCCTAAACCCTAAACCCTAAACCGCTGTACCAAGGAACTACAGCAGGGAGCCCCCAGCATGGAGGCCACGTGCAGAGCCAGCTCACCAACGCAGCTGAACTCCTCGGAGGTGAAACTGCCCAAGTCCTCGCACGTCAGGGGTTTAGGGTTTGGGGTTTGGGGTTTGGGGTTTAGGGTTTGGGGTTTAGGGTTTAGGGTTTAGGGTTTGGGGTTTAGGGTTTAGGGTTTAGGGTTTAGGGTTTGGGGTTTGGGGTTTGGGGTTTAGGGTTTGGGGTTTAGGGTTTAGGGTTTAGGGTTTGGGGTTTAGGGTTTAGGGTTTAGGGTTTAGGGTTTAGGGTTTAGGGTTTAGATTCGAGGGTCCTCGCCCGTCATCAAGCGCACCCGCACCATGGCTTCGAGAAAGACTAGCAAGAACGATACAAAGCAAGCACTTTTGAACCCTCAACCCTAAACCCTAAACCCTAAACCCTAAACCCTAAACCCTAAATCCTAAACCCTAAACCCTAAACCCTAAACCCTAAACCCTAAACCCACGAACGAAAAGCCCTACTCCCCAGGCCCTAAACCCTGAACTCTGAGCATGAAAAATACCCTACAAAAAAAAACAACTAAAACCAAGAACCTCTCTAACACGTCTCCGTTGCAAAGCCAAGGGATACGCACCACAGACGGACTTGGGTTGTCCTTGTGGGGGATCGGGGCTTTTAGGTGTTTTGGGGTTGTGGGTCTTGGGGTTTAAGGCTTAGGGTTTAGGGCTTAGGGCTTAGGGTTTAGGGTTTAGGGCTTAGGGCTTAGGGCTTAGGGCTTAGGGTTTAGGGCTTAGGGCTTAGGGCTTAGGGTTTAAGGTTTAAGGTTTAGGGTTTAGGGTTTAGGGTTTAGGGTTTAGGGTTTAGGGTTTAGGGTTTAGGGTTTAGGGACATCCCGCCTTCAGCCCCAAGCCCCAAACCCCTCTAAACCTTGCACCCTAAACCCCAAGCCCTAAACCCTAAACCCTAAACCCTAAACCCTAAACCCTAAACCCTAAACCCTAAACCCTAAACCCTAAACCCTAAACCCTTGGCCTCCGGAGTTGCCTGCAGTGGCCCTCTCGAGGAGAATGACGCCGCCCGTCTGGCGCAGGCCCTTGTCGGCCTTCATGGCACCTTCAAGGCTTGTGAGGGTTTAGGGTTTAGGGTTTAGGGTTTAGGGTTTAGGGTTTAGGGTTTAGGGTTTAGGGTTTAGGGTTTAGGGTTTAGGGTTGAGGGTTGAGGGTTTAGGGTTTAGGGTTTAGGGTTTAGGGTTTAGGGTTTAGGGTTTAGGGTTTAGGGTTTAGGGTTTAGGGTTTAGGGTTCAGCATCTCAAGTTCGAGCATTTACTAGGCCAGCCGTGTGTGTAGGCAACGGAAAAAAAAAACCCACCCACCCAGAGAGCCCCAAAACATCAAGAAAATATAAAGTTTACATTTCTCATCAGCAAGCCCTGTCCTCCACCCTCACTCTGTCATGAACCATCCTACCCACGAACCATTTCATCGGCCCCCATAGAGGGGCGGGACTTGAAATCCTGAAACCGGTGAAGGCTCCGTTTTGGTCAAAAATCCAGAAAACGAGAGACCACCCAGAGCCGTCGAGTCCAGTACGAAAAAATGGCATTTTTAACTGGGACCCGGGCCGATCCTGGGGTCCCCCTCATTTGGGGTGTTTTTGGAGGCAAACTTTCCCTCTCAAGGGGGGGTCGGAGTTTGAGGCAAGGGGGGGTCTCCGAACACTATTTTGCCTTTAAAATTGAAAAATACGACCCCCCCTTGACCAAAACTAGGCTGTGAAAAGGTCGTGGGGGCGGCCCTTCATCAGAATTGAGGGTTTAAAACCCTGAAACATCCTGAAAAGCATTGGAAAACCTTGAAAAACTTGAAATCCTGAGCCGATCCTGGGGTCACCCTCATTTGGGGTGTTTTTGGAGGTAAACTTTCCCTCTCAAGGGGGGGTCGGAGTTTGAGGCAAGGGGGGGTCTCAGAAGACTATTTTGCCTCTAAAATTGAAAAATACGACCCCCCCTTGACCAAAACTAGGCTGTGAAAAGGTCGCGGGGCGGCCTTCATCAGAATTGAAGGTTACAAACCTTGAAACACACAGAAAAACATTGAAAAACCATAAAAAACACTGAAAAATTCTGAAAAACCTTGTAAAAACTGAAAAAGCCAAGGCCAAGGCCGCGCGCGCGTGCAGGGCGCTTTGCCACGCGGCGGCGTCAGTGGCTGGATCCCATCACCAGAGGCTGTTGCTCTCAGGGTCCTTGAAGCCTGTCGCGCTAGATTGCGAGATATGGCGGGCTCGACTGACGCAACCGAGCATCTGACAGAGCCATCCACGATTGACGAGGATTTTCCGCTTGAGCGGCCACTCGCGGACCTTCACACGAAGAACACACGTGACGAAGGAAAAACATGTATATCCTGATCAAAGCCTTGCCCAACAGCTGTAAGAACGACTGTCCACGCAAGTCCGCTGCCTCCTGTCATGGGCAGGTATGTTTCGCACACTAGTTACTGGTTTGTTATTGTCATGGAACGCCTTGACTTGGAGCTTCACGTCCCACCAGAGGCCTTCAAGCCGCCAAGCGGCTAAGAGACCGATTTTGCCCAGCGGGCCAGCTCCTGTCATGAAAGTTGCATCTGCTTCCTTCTAAAGCTTTCCCTTGCAACGTTGGCCTCTCCAGTCTCCAATCGTCCAACCTGGACAGTGGACAGGTCCAGAAACTCCTATTCAGATGCAATCTCGATCGCAGTCACTTTCTGAACTTGCGAGCCTGCGGTCTGGAAGGAGGATCTCTATTAGCTTTTCGGGATCCTCCATCCTGCGCGCAAAGGCATAGTGGCATAGAGAACTACATCCTCTGCTTCTGGGCCACTGTTAGATGACATGTCCTGCAGAGAGCGTCTTGACACGTTGGTGCAATGCATTGAACCAAGACGTTGCTGCCAGGGTCGAGCATTGAGACGGTTGCAGCCTGCTTTATTTGCTCTGAAGGCTGGGGCGTCATGCTCTGGCTAACTTCCCACAAGCTCAAGAACGAGGTTCAACAATGCAAAGAAGAAGCGAGTAGGCCATAACCGGTGGTTTTTTGCGGAAATTGAAAGTCAGAGCAAGTGAAGGTTGGCGTGAAACAGATGTTCTGCCAGCGACTGTTTGTGCCATAGTCTGCGTCGCGGCAGCTTTTCATCTAAGAGAAGAATCGGCCCGGCCACCGGCTGCTCTTCTGGCTGCCATCGTCCGTTGATGAGGATTGCGACGTGACTATGGGCTTCAGATCCTATGGCTGAGATGATGTCGCCGATCGTTACGTTCTGAAGGGCCTAGAAGCGCACAGGTTTCACCAGCATGACCATACGGTGTTTGCCTGCGTGCATCCGGTTCATTCAGCCTAGCAGCTGTCCAGCGCACAGGTCTGGGCCTCAGAGTGGCCCAGCTCAGAGATGTCTTCTGCAGACATCACATGGACCCGAGAGGCCCAAGGCAGCCACAGAAGAGATCCGATCGTGATCTCTCGCCGTTTGCAGAGCCACCCAGCAAGCGTCCAGCGGTCAGCAGAGCCTCCGTCAGCCAGATCGGTGAATTGCTCACCACTAGACAGACACCACTCAGGGCCGGTCGATTTGCTGACTATAGGGTTTAAATATATAAAGGCAAGAGAGGTTTAGGGATCGGATCGGATCGGACTGCGTCAAAGTTCAGTGAACGTCGGGATTGGCGCTTACAGGCCAAAAGCAAAAACATGCAGCTTGGGTACTAATTAGAAAGGAAGCGTCCTAGCCCTGACCTGTATGGATCTGTTCAGTGGCCTGAACCAGGCACTCCAGCACATATTGCTGTGCCTCCGACAGGCTTTGAAAGAAGACAGCCTGTGTGGCAGGGCTGGCTGTGAGATACTCGTCCAGGGTCACCCGCAGCCTAAAAGGCCAAGCATGTGTGCTATCATGAGCTATGTCGAGCACTATGCTTAGGAGGTCTGGGGAAATCTGCATGTCGGGGGGCACTTCCCTGCGCAAGGGTCCATGCACCCTGACTGCTGGCAGGCGGTCCTGTGCGTGAATGCCACCTGAGGCAGTGGCCTTTATGGCTCTGGCTCGCTCTCGCTGTCTTAGGTCTGCAAGGGGCTGCGCCCGGGCACGTGTCAGAAGTTGCCACCCGCAGGTTTTGGAATCATGCGTGACATGTCGTATGAGTCTCCTGCGGGCCCAGAACTGCGTAAGGCACACTGTACAGAGACTGGCGCCGACATAGCTTTCTAGCAATGGTCGTTGGCCATGCTTAGCAAGCCTGTGAGCCCGCACCTGCTGTCGCGTAGAGAAGGCGGCTGGACATTTCTCACAGGCGAAAGGATGCTCTAGCTCGACTCTGCTTGCTTCGCTGGGGGCTGGACTTGGGCCGGGGACGGCTTTCTTACTTTGCAGGCTGCGTTGGTATTCATGCCAATTGTGCTCCCCGACTTTGCGCATGCCTCGCCGGATTTGGTGATGAAGCTGGCGTAGGCTGTGAGCATTGTCTGCTCCGGCTTCGAAGACCTCTGCCGGCAGTCGAGGAGTGGCTTCGCGGTCGAAAAGCCCCTGAAGCCACGCAAGATCGCGTTGTACTAGGTGCAGCCAGGCATCGGCAGTGCAGGCGGCCTCTACTTGAAGAAGATGCCAAAGGTCCGCACGCTGCCCTCTACTGATCTGCACTAGGTGCCTGAGCCTAGCGGCAGACAAGCATTGTTCCGCGTTGGGGTGCCCAGTGGCACCGAAGACATCTGCAGACGCCGCCCAGGTGCTGTCCCCGGTGTAACGGTCTTCTGGCAGGAGTTTGCGCAGCACGCGTGCAAGTCCATGGTGCCATACATGTGACTCGCGCCTACTGAGTTTCCCCCAAACCTCAGCACCGTGCACAGCACGACTAACAGCGAGGCTTTGCATGAGAAGGCTGCGCGTAGCGAAAGGGGCTTTGTCGTTACGGAAGACTTTCTTCGTCAGCGGTCCAGCGGAAGCCTGCGCCGCTGCAAGGTTTTGCCGGATGTCAGGCAGCGCCGCGCCCGTCTCTGAGATAACATTGCCGAGATGTTTGTAGCTGGTCACGCAACGAAGGAGGTGACGCCCATCCCCACCGGTAAACTCGATGGTGCCTTCCCCAGTTCGGAAGAGGCTGCGCTTGAGTTTTTTGGATCCTGGTCCCGTAGGGCATACCAAAACCTCCGTCTTGCCGGCAGCGTAGTTCGGTGCCATTGCCCTGCGGGTGCAGCTGTCGTGCAGCACGGTAGCCGCCTGTTGCACAGTGTTGCCGACTTCCTCGCAAGAGTCGCAGGTCAGCGGTAGAGCAACGTCGTCGGCCCACGTCGGCAGCGGGCACGGCTGCCCGTTTAAGTTGAGGTGCTCTTGTACTTCGCGCAGCATGTCCGCAGCAGCAAGCGCAAAGAGGGCATCCGCTATTGCGTCGCCCGGTCTTGAGCCGGCGTGTGTACGGAGAAGTCCTTCAAGGCCGTCTTGTACGAAGTACGTTCCGCTGAGCATGACTCTGACGTAGCGGCGTAGGTGCTCCGGGGCCTGCTCCAGCAGGTCAGTGTTGCGAGCATACTGCTGAACCTGGTGCATAAGTGTAGCGGGCACCTGCAGGCGCCCAAGTATCCAGGCAACGTGTTGGTCTGTGGGGCTTTCGGCGCCGTCAGCAGCTGTCGGCCACATAGACTCTTGTAGTACGCGGCGCTGAGGTCAAGGAAGATCGTAGCGCAGGGTGCGCCCCTGGCTTTGGAGATCCTTCCCCACGTGGCAACGTAATGGTGAAGGGAGTTTGAGGACGACCCTCTGACGCAGCCCTGTTGCAACGGCTGGGCAGTGTGTCCTAGTTGCTGGCACAAAGCAGGGCGCAGCAGCCGGTGGTGCATCTTCGCCGCGGGGTCAAAGAGCGCGATGCTTCTGTAGTTCAGAGGGTCAGTTGGCGTGCCTTTCTGCTTGAAGAAAGCAACGAGTTGACAGCCCCGATACTGTATGGGCTCGGTGAGCCGGATATGGGCTTTCATAAAAATGGGCAGCAGTGTTTTGGCGGCTCCTGTCGGGCAGGATTTCCACACGGCTGCAGTAATTCCAGAGGGCCCTGGAGCCTTGCCATCTTTGGCCTCGCGCACAACTTGCTCTACTTGGAAGAGAGTTGGGAGGTCTGTCAGACGGTACCTAGCACTGGGCTCCACTCTACTGGGGGCGTCTTGGCTGCAGTACTCCGCAGGGGTGAGGATGGTCCCAGCTTCCTGCTGCGCAAACACATCCCTGTGCGCCTGCTGTTTCAGCGTGCTTGCCAGTAGGGAGCATGACAGTAAGCGGCTGTCCAAAGGACTTGTGTACCTTTTTGCCTGCAGGCCGGTATATCTTGAGTGCGTGGTAAAGCTGCTGCGATGCGCCTTTGTTAGCAGCTTCCTGGAACTTGGCAGCAAGGACCTCCAAGTGGTCCAGCCTGTCTTGTTTCAGAGAAGCTCGTAGCATGAGGCTTGCTACACTAGTGTCACGTATGGCAGTGGCATGACGGCGGTGTAAGGCGCATTGCCTGTCGCGCCATTCCTGTACCTTCCGAATGAACTCCGCACTGATGTGTCCAAGTTTCCAAGCCCTCCAGCAAATGAGTTGCCGGAGACGTTGGATACCATTGTGGGCAGCCTTGATCCTATGACGGGCCTCCCTGCGGTACCTCACCAGGTTCCAGGTGTGCTGAGAGATGTGCGCCTTTCTGTGTTGCTTTGGTCCCTGACTTCGGCAGCTGCTACGAAGCACGTCGTCAACTCTGGCAACGTGGTCATGTATGTTGGTACTCCAGGGCACTTGGCTGGCAGTCTGCAGTGCCGCAGGGATTGGCGCCTCTGCTTGTTGTGTGTCGGAAACACGTAGCAGAGGGATCCGGGCATGAGCGCGACTGGGCTTGGAAATGGTGCCAGCTTGGAGGGTGATCTTCAGGGACGTTGCGGTGTGGTCTTCCCCCTCCCTGAGACTGAAGTCAGGGTGCATACGTATCTCGCTGCAGTGACTGAGCCAGGCCTGCGGCACGAGTACGTAGTCGATGCGGTGCGTGTCACCGTGGCTGGAAGCCCATGTGTGCACGTCAGTGTCGGGCTCGACGCACTGTCCCTTAATGCCCTGGAAGGTAGTGGGGGCGCATAAGGCATTCACGTGGCAGAAGTTTCGCAGGCAGGCTCCCGCAAAATTTTCGGCTTCGCTCGCGTGTGGACCGACGGCCTGTGATGTGGTGGCGCCAACTCTTGCATTAGCATCGATGCAACATATGAGTGGTAGTCCTGTACCGACATATGGATTCAGCTTGTTGGTGAGGTCGTCCCACCAGGCGGCAATCTCTTCAGCAGGCTTGCCTGTGTGGGGCGCATGTGCGGAGAGGATGTAGCCCGTCCATTTGTCGGTGCACAGCCTGATCAACAGGTGCCTGTCTGTGCTGATTAGGACGGTAGCATCCTTGATCTGGACTGGCCCGATCTGTGCGTCTTTGGCAATCCAGATCGCGCAGCCGCCCTCGCCTCTTGGTGTGGCCGCGCTACTCACAGTGATGTGCGTCTCGCCCTGGCCGAGTGACGCCGTTCGGTATCTGGTCTCTTGCAGTCCAAGCACCGCAACGCCGTCTCGCCTCACAAGGGCTTGGAGGAGTGGCCCTCGGTCACGCATGGACTGCACGTTGTAAGTGGCTACTCTGAGCTGTAGGGGCTGCGTTCTGGCTGTAGTGCTGCTTCTGGGAACAGGCAGGTGCGCAGGCGCAGCAGCTTCTCGCTCTTCGTACTCACCTTTTAGGAGTTCCTGCAGTGAGGGAATGGCAGACGTCTGGGCTTGTAGTCTCCACGCCCAGGGGAGGAGCTCATGTTCCAGGAGTGCGAGCACGGCTTTGGGTAGGGCTGTACACGCCCCAGTGCTTCTGGCGTGGTTGGCTAGCGCGTCGGCGGATTCGTTGTAGATCTGGCCTACGTGTCCTTTGGTCCATTGCACTTGGACAGGGGAGGTCCTGGCTTCATGGATCTGCATGACTTGTCGGATGCTGGGGCAGAGGCGCCTCTGTTTCTCCTTGGCGTCAGGAGGTGAACTGGCGCCGTTCGCAGCGGTGGCAATGACCTCACAGTCGGTCCAGATGGTAACATGGATGCGTATGTCAAGCCCAAGCGTCCAGAGCAGCGCAAGGAGTACTGGGATTCCCTCGGCGTCGATGTTTGAGAGATGGTTGTCTCTACAGAGGCCTATGTCGGCTATGGCCTTCACAGTACCGTAAGCACAGGCGGCGTATTGCTTTTCCTCACCAAACTGTACTCCGTCAACGAGGATTATTGCCCAGCCTGGACAGTGCGAATCCTTGTGTGAGCCGTCTGTGTAGATGTCGAGCGCACGGAGACAGGCTGGAAAGAAGGGGAGGGGGCCCTGAAGTTGGCTGCGGGATCCGCATGGAAGGTCGCACGGAGGCTGCCGTCTCCAGAAGTCTGTCCATGCTTCTTTGCAGCCTGCGAGCGCAGACTCTAGCCCGGCGAGACTCGCATAGGGATCTTGGCTTGGGCCGCAGGGCTGCCTTGCTGCGGTTGTTGCTTTGCTTTTGTCGGCTCCGGTCTTGGGCGGCGCTTGCTGTTGGTTGTGTTCGAAGAGAGTGTCGAGCAGGGTTGCAGCAAGGAAGAAAGCTCTCAGCTTCTGTTCCGGCGGCAGACTGTTTAGAAGCGTATCTTCCTCACGGGTGGACTGCTTTGGGGAGTTGCTGTCGGCGTGCTGGTTGCTGCCGCGAGGGGGTCTGGGGAGGTTTAGGGTTTAGGGTTTAGGGTGTAGAGTTTAGGGTTTGGGGTCTAGGGTTTTGGGCTTAGGGCTTAGGGCTTAGGGTTGAGGGTTGAGGGTTGCTTATCCTAATCGCATATTCTATCCTAATTTTAAGGATCCAAAGCCCCAAATTAAACCCGCAGTCACGGTCTTCCGGAAGGAGTTTCTTAGGGTTGGATCTCGGCACGCGTTGGGCAAAACACTGTACTTCGGGTTCAGAGCTTAGGGTATGGGGCGCGCGGTCCCGAAACCCCAAACCCTCAACCCTCAACCCTAAACCCTAAACCCTAAACCCTAAACCCCAAACCCTAAGCACGGACTTCAAGACGCTTCGAGTGACGGAGTTGCTGAGGCTTGGGTGCGCTTCGTCCTTTGGAGGTGCAGCGTATGGGGCTTGGGGTGCTGCATCTATAGTCCCCAAACCCTAAACCCTTCACCCTAAACCCCAAACCCTAATCCCCAAACCCTAAACCCTAACCCTAAACCCCAAACCCTAAACCCTAAACCCTAAGCCCCAAACCCTAAACCCTAAACCCCAGCGCCTCCATCCTCTCGGGCCGAAGCGTTGAAGATGCGGAGGACACCACCCGACACCTTTCCAAAGATTAGGGTTTAGGGTTTAGGGTGTGGGGTTTGGGGTTCAGGGTTTAGGGTTTACGGTTTAGGGTTTGGGGTTTGGGGTTTGGGGACTAGGGTTTGGCGTTACCACCCGAGACCTTCCCAAAAGAGCCCCCTTCAGTTAAGGAATAATGCCTTAAGATCATTTAGGGTTTAGGATTTAGGGTTTAGGGGTTAGGGTTTAGGGCTCAACCCTATACCCTAAACCCTATATAAGGGCTTAGGGTTTAGGGCGTTCAGGGAGTGCGCTCAGCAAACCTCCCAAGCCCAACTAAGCAAAAAACAGCACACGGGAATGTCAAACCCTGCACCCTGAAAGCCCATTGTCCACCAAAAAAACCCTAACCCTTAACAACCCAATGAAAAATGAAAGCACCAAGATTCAACGAACAAAAGGAACCCTTAAACCCTAAACCCTAAACCCTTAACCCTAAACCCGAAACCCTAAACTCAAAAACAACCTGCCCAAAAATCTTCCCAACAAATTGAAGGTTTGACTCGGCCTCGCTAGGCTTCCAGCTGTGAATGGCACCTTCAGGAGTGAGCAGCTGGGGCTTCGGGTTTCGGGTTTCGGGTTTCGGGTTTAGGGTTTAGGGTTTAGGGTTTAGGATTTAGGGTTTAGGGTTTAGGGTTTAGGGTTTAGGGTTTAGGGTTTAGGGCTGAGAGTTAAGACGCACGGTCACCTCCGTTCTTCGCACGGGCATTTCGGATGGAGACGCCGCCGCCGGCGACGAGAACGGCGGCTTTGATGGCACCTCCCGCAACTTGGCTCAAGGCCGCTAGTCCATGACTATGAGTTTTCAGAGGTTTAGGGTTTAGGGTTTAGGGTTTAGGGTTTAGGGTTTAGGGTTTAGGGTTTAGGGTTTAGGGTTTAGGGTTTAGGGTTTAGGGTTTAGGGTTTAGGGTTTATTTAAGGTTCAAGAGGGCTGGTTGGGGTTAAACAGGGTTATAGAATTTGGGCTTCGGGCTCCTTGGGATGTATTAGGGCTTTGGGCTCCTATATAAGCCTTGCCCTGGTGTACAAATACCGGTCGACAGGACTCAGAATCGCAAAGCCAGAGCTAAACAAGGCCATGCATGCTCGAGTTGTGTGTGTGTGTCCCTAAACCCTAAACCCTAAACCCTAAAGCTTAAAGCCTAAACCCTAAACCCTAAACCCTAAACCCTAAACCCTAAACCCTGCCAGGTATATACAGATAGATAGACAAATGGGTGGATGGATGGATGGGTGGGTGGATGGATGGATAGAAGCACTAAAGTTCAGGTGCAGTGGTAAATCAATTAGTATATGGGTAGTTCTCTACATTAGGGCCATTTCGGGAAGTCCTCATTTTAAGGGTGCCGTAATTTTCGGGTACCCAAAGTGGGCCTCTGTATTTAGAGAACTACCCATATGACGCCGCCGAAGCTTTCAACCAGATGAGTCCTCCGTCTTCATCTGCCCAGGAGTCGCGGATGGAGACATCGCCGCCGAAGACCTTGGGTAAATCTTCAAAAGGCCTCCTGTAGTTGAACTTGAAAGCTTTAGGCTTTGGGGTTGTGAGGTTTGGGGTTTAGGGTTTAGGATTTAGGGTTTAGGGCTCAGGGTTGGGGCTCAGGGTTTCCAATCCCCAAGCCCTAAACCCTCAACCCAAGGCCGGTGGGCCGAGAGGGTCAAATTTTGAGGCCCGTCCCACCTTGAAGTGGTGGGCGACGATGCTGCCGCCTTTTCGCGCGGTTGAGGCCAGGGTCTGGGGTTTGGGGTTTGGGGAAGTTTAGGGTTTAGGGTTTAGGGTTTAGGGTTTAGGGTTTACGGTTTGGGGTCCAGAGTCCGCACCTTGAAGGGCCGAACTGTTGCGAATAGAGACGTTGCCGCCATAGACCTCAAAGTTCTCTTTGACTTTGAACGTGCCTGGCAGGCTCGACAGCAGGGTAGCGGGTTTAGGGTTTAGGGTTTAGGGTTTAGGGTTTAGGGTTTAGGGGTTTAGAGGTTTAGGGGTTTAGGGGTTTAGGGTTTAGGGTTTAGGGTTTAGGGTTTAGGGTTTAGGGTTTAGGGTTTAGGGTTTAGGGTCTAGGGTCTAGGGTCTAGGGTTTAGGGTTTAGGGTTTAGGGTTTAGGGTTTAGGGCTGGACTTTGAACGTGCCTGGCAGGCTGTGCTTTCAGGATCGTATAAACAGTACGGGTTTCGCATTTAGGGTCTCGGGTTGAGGGCTAGGATGTCGGGCTTAGGGCTCGAGGGTTTTTGGAGGTTCTTGTGGAAGCCTCCCTAGAATCAATGGACCTTCAGACAACAGAAACCATGTGGGCAAGCCCCGTCGTCATGTGCTGAAGTCCCGAAGCGCACGCAACCGCAGCGCTGAAGTTCTTTAGGGGGAGGAGTGTTCCAAATGTGCTACAAACCCTAAACCCTAAACCTAAACCCTAAACCCTCAACCCTAAACCCTAAACCCTCAACCCTAAACCCTAAACCCTAAACCCTAAACATCCCTAAACCCTAAACCTACTAACGTTGATCCCTGAAGTCTGCACCCTAAACCAGGCTCGAGAACTTCCTTTAATGCGACGATGTTGCCTGCACGCTGAGAGCCACAACCGGGTGTCGGGCACCCCGAAACCCCTGAGCCCGGAGCCCCAGCAAGCCCTAAACCCTAAACCCTAAACCCCAAACCCTCAAACCCTAGACACCCTAGACTCTACCCCCCCCCCCCCCCCCAAAAAAAAACAAAAAACTAAACTTGGGATGTCCCCCCCTAGGGTACGACAATCCCTCCTGAGCACTGTTAGTTTCAGGGGGAGGAACATCCCAACCCTAAACCCTAAACCCGAAACCCGAAACCCGAAACCCTAAACCCTAAACCCTAAACCCTAAACCCTAAACCCTAAACCCTAAACCCTAAACCCTAAACCCTAAACCCTAAACCCTAAAACCCAAACCCACAAACCCGCTACTCCATCCTTGAACCCGACAAAGTGGCCTCCTCTTCCTTGTGTGTAGCAGCCCACTGCCTGTCACAGGCTCGGGTTTAGGGTTTAGGGTTTAGGGTTTAGGGTTTAGGGTTTAGGGTTTAGGGTTTAGGGTTTAGGGTTTAGGGTTTAGGGTTTAGGGTTTAGGTTTAGGGGTTAGGGTTTAGGGTTTAGGGTTTTGGGTTTAGGGTTTAGGGTTCGGTTGGGGTTTGGGGGTTGAGGGGTTTAGGGGGGTTTTGAAGGCTTGGGGGTTCGGGGGTTTGGGGGGTTTGATTGGGGGTTCGGGGGGGTTTGAGGGTTTTTGCGGGTTTGAGAAGAAATGTTGAGGCTTGCTTTATGAGGGTTTCAACCCTAAAACCCTAAACCCTAAACCTTAAAACCCTAAAACCCTAAACCAACACCCGGCGGGGATTGAAGCTTTACTTTTGCTACCTCTGACTTAGCGGACATCTATCTCTCCCTATGCAAAAAAAACGATGTGCTTAAGGGACCCCCCCCCCCCCCAACAAAAAAAAAAAACATGACAACTAAATAATCCTGAATATTGCCCCTACAAGGAAGAGCTTTTTGGATTTGGGGGAGCGGGAGGGGGGCGGGGTTCTTAAGCAGCAACTAGTAGAGAAGCAAATAGTAGTGAACCCTTTCCAGGAATCATGCTGCTACAATAACTCCCCCAGCCCCTACCAACAACCAGAAGTTATAGGGTTCTTAAGGGAAGGGGGGGTTCATGCGCGGTAAGTGACCTTAGGGAAGCCTAAACCCTAAACCCTAAACCCTAAACCCTAAACCTCCCTTGAAACCCCCCCCCCCCTCCCGTAACAATCCTACAAGAAGGTTCTGGGTTCGGGCTTGGACCTCGGAGGCCTTGCTTTGGGGCTTACGACACGTGGTTCAGGGGTTGGGGTTTGGGGGTTTAGGGGTTTAAGGTTTAGGGTTTAGGGCCTAGGGTTTAGGGGTTCAGCCCTTTAGGGTTCAGGGCTTTGGGTGCTGTTTAGGGATTTAGGGGCTTGGGGGTTTAGGGGCTTTAGGGCTTTTGGGTTTTAGGGTTTAGGGATTTAGGGCTTTAGGGCTTCAGAGTTCAGGGTTTAGGGGTTCAGCCCTTTAGGGTTGGGGTTTAGGGGCTTAGGGGTTTAGGGCTTTAGGGTTTTTTTTTAGGGAGGCCTTGCGCGCGTCGTCGCGCGCTTTGGCGCCAGGCTTTAGGGCTTTAGGGCTTTTGGGTTTTAGGGCTTTTGGGTTTAGGGGTTTAGGGGTTTAGGGGTTTTAGGGGTTTAGGGGGTTTAGGGGTTTAGGGGCTTAGGGGTTTAGGGGTTTTAGGGGTTTAGGGCTTTTGGGTTTTAGGGGTTTAGGTGTTTAGGGGTTCGGGGTTTAGGGTTTAGGGTTTAGGGTTTAGGGTTTAGGGTTTAGGGCCTAGGGTTTAGGGTTTAGGGTTCAGCCCTTTAGGGTTCAGGGCTTTGGGTGCTCTTTCGGCCTCCAATGTTCCAGCCCTTTGGCGGTATGCACCTGCACGGCGACACTGCGGCAAGCAGCACCCCTAAGGGTTTAGGGTCTAGAGTTTAGGGTCTAGGGCCTAGGGCGTAAGGCTTTAGGGGATAGAGTTTAGGGTAGTTTGGGATCTAGGGCTTACAACCCCCAAAAACAAACAAAAGTAGGACCGACGGACACCCCCGAAATGCGAACACCCAAAACCCTCGAACCCTCAAACGAAGCCTAAACCCCAGACCCTAGACATGAACTTCAACCCCACCCCCTCCCTCTCCACAACAAAACGCAAACTCCACCCACAACCCGAAACCCTAAACGCCTGAACCCTGAACTCTACACCCTACGTCTTAAAACCTAAACCCCAAACCCCAAACCCTAAACCCTAATCCTAAAACCTATAAACCCTAAACCCTAAACCCGAACTAAAACCTAAACTGTACCTCCTCCCCTGCGCCCCGCACCTTGCACGTAGAAGGCGCCTCCCTCGCCCCCTGGGTATTTCCACGCCTCGGAGCGGGCCGCCCTTTACACTAAAAGCCTCTGCGGTTTAGGGCTTAGGCTTTAGGGCTTAGGGCTTAGGGTTTAGGGTTTAATGTTTAAGGCTTAGGGTTTTGGATTTAGGGTTTAGGGTTTAATGTTTAGGATTTAGGGTTCGGGTTCGGCATATTTATGAGACGGACACCCTACGGTTCCTAATATGAGCCGAAGCCCCTCAACCCTAAAGCCAAGAAGAACCAGGGGTAATATGAAAAATAAACAGGTAAATATGAAAAAACAGAATCAAAGTACTCCAAAAAAACCAAATAACAACCCTAAACCCTAAACCCGAAACCCTAGACCCTAAACCCTGAACCCTGAACCCTAAACCCTATACACCTTCTATACACACTCACACAAAAAGGATCCCAAGGGCCTACCTAGAGGCGCGGTTGGCGCCGCTGCAGTTCTCGAACCGCAGAGCTCCTTCCTCCAAGTGAAGGTCGCCTTGGCGTTTAGGGTTTAGGGTTTAGGGTTTAGGGTTTAGGGTTTAGGGTTTAGGGTTTAGGGTTTAGGGTTTAGGGTTTAGGGTTTAGGGTTTAGGGTTTAGGGTTTAGGGTTTAGGGTTTAGGGTTTAGGGTTTAGGGTTTAGGGTTTAGGGTTTAGGGTTTAGGGTTTAGGGTTTAGGGTTTAGGGTTTAGGGTTTAGGGTTTAGGGTTTAGGGTTTAGGGTTTAGGGTTTAGGGTTTAGGGTTTAGGGTTTAGGGTTTAGGGTTTAGGGTTTAGGGTTTAGGGTTTAGGCGGCTGCCATGCTTTGCGTGGCGTTTGAAAATATTAGGCTGGCGCGTAGGCGCAGCCGCCAGATGCAGAGCATACTCGGGGTGTTGGGTTAGATACTGGGGTTTAGGGTTCAGGGTTTAGGGTTCAGGGTTCAGGGTTTAGGGTCCGCCGACCCTGGCGGCGTGTTGGATGGGTTTGAGGAGGTGAAATCTCCCGTACACCCCAAAACGCGGGGGGGGGTGGGGGGGTATCTGAACCCTGCGGTCCAAGTCGCCATCGACGGTGAGTCCTCCACCCAGGGGGTTCATAGATGCTTTACCCTTAGGCTCAAAAATGGCTTAAAACCTTGCAAAATAAGGCCTTTGGGCACAAAAACCCTAAAATAAGAGTCCCTGGAGCCTTAAGGTTAGAGTTGAGAGGCTGTAGGGTTTCACGGGTACTTGTAACGCCAGGGCTAAGTCTGCTTGCAACCTACTTAGGGGTCTTATACGGTGCTTGTAAGTACAGATGTGCATGGGATTAGGGATTGGAGGTCCCAGGGTTTAGGGCTTAGGGTCTAGAGCGACTAGGGCTTTCATCGGGTTCGTGAGTCCTCCGCCCAAAGGGTTCAGGGTCCCCTAAGCCCTAAACCCTAAACCCTAAACCCTAAACCCTAAACCCTAAACCCTAAACCGGGTTCGTGAGTCCTCCGCCCAAGGGGTTCAGGGTCTTGCCATTGTGGCAGCTGTGGAAGGAGAGGTCCCCGCGCACGGTGAGGTTCCCACCCACGCTGACGCAGGCAGTGCTGAGTTCCCCCTTCCTCCCGCGCACCTCAGCTGCTTGACGGTTTAGGGTTTAGGGTTTAGGGTTTAGGGTTTAGGGTTTAGGGTTTTGGGTTTAGGGTTTAGGGTTTAGGGTTTAGGGTTTAGGGCTTAGGGCTTAGGGCTTAGGGTTTAGTGCACCTCAGCTGCTCTACGGTTTTTGGGCTTCAGGGCGTTTAGGGCTTTTGAGCCTTTGGGTTTAGTTTGGCTGGTTCTCCTGGAAACTTTAGGGTTTTGGGGGACTAGGGTTTTGGGGCTCAGGGTTGAGAGCTCTAGGTGTTTGAGTTTTAGGCTGCAGGGAACCCAAGTCCCTTTGAAAGCATGAGGAACGGTCTCGCTCAAGGAAGAGTTTCCATGAAACGTACCCCCTTCAAACATCCCAAGATGGGGGAGTTCAAGGGTCATCCTCACAAACGCCGCATGGCCAGCTAGCTTACAGAACCCTAAACCCTAAACCCTAAACCCTAAACCCTAAACCCTAAACCCTAAACCCCCAACCTTAACGTCCTAAAGCCCTCAACTCTGAGTCTCTGAACCCTCAACTCCTAGACCCCCCCGAAGCATACCCGAAACCCTCAAATCCCCCAAACCCTAAGACTCCGAACCCTAACACCCCCCCCCCCCACCCCTTCAGCCCAAACCCAAAACTCCTCAACACCCTAAACCCTAAACCCTAAACCCTTAAATCCCTCAACCCCTCAACTGCCCCAAGCCGGCGCCAGCCCTATTCAGATTTCGGGCAAGCAGTTTGGGTTCAGGGCCTAAGGCTTAGGGTTTAGGGTCCTAAAGGGTTCATAGAATTCAAGGCCTAGGGCTTCGGGTTCTGGGGTGATGTGTTGTTGCTGCTGTGTGCCTTGTCGCATGTACTGAGAGATGTAGGAAACCTTGTGTTTTCGGAACGGCATGGGATTCTCTGGGTGGGCGGGCATTTCTCCTTTACATGAATACAATTGCCGCAGCGAATGCCCTCCCCCCCACCCCAAACCCCTAACCCACAACCCCAAACCCACAACCCCAAACCCTAAACCCCAAACCCAAGCCCCAAGCCTAAACCCCAAGCCCCAACCCCAAACCCCAAACCCTAAACCCCAAACCCTAAACCCCAAACCCAAAACAAAAACGCAAAGGGCTTCCAGCTGCTCTCCTGCTTACTATTGGTGAGTCGGGAATAAGGTACCATATATCCCCCATTCCCAACGAACCAACAGTAATTAAGCCTGAAGACCTCGAGCTGGCCGCGGAAGGCCACGCTTCCCAGGAAGTAGAGCTGGTGGGCCTGACCTTGGCAACCCTGGGGTGTAGGGTTTAGGGTTTAGGGTTTAGGGTTTAGGGTTTAGGGTTTAGGGTTTAGGGTTTAGGGTTTAGGGTTTAGGGTAACCAAGTGGCTGCGGATGTGGACCACGGCACCTGGGCTGGTTGTGAGGGACTTAGGGTTTTTAGGGGTTCAGGGATTCAGGGATTTAGGGATTTCTTGAGGCTTTTGAGGGATCTAGGGGTTTTAGGGGTTGAGGGTTTTAGGGGGTTTAGGGATTTAGGGGTTTGGGCTGTTGAGGGCTTGGGGATTCAGGGGTCTGAGGGTTTAGGGTTTTGAGGATTTAGGGATTAAAAATCTTAAGGTTTAGGGATTTAGGGTTTCGGGTTTAGGGATTTTGGGATGTAGGGCGTTGGGGATTTGGGGCGGTTTGTAGGGCTTAGGGTTGAGGGTTTAGGAAGTTAACTTACCGGTTCTGATAAGGGGACGAGGGAAGTAGGTACCTTATGCAATCCTTCAAACTAGACCCAGGAGTAACCTAGTAATAAAATGGTACCGTTCTTGGTCTAAGTAGCTAAAAGGGAACCCAATCCCTGAAAAACGGTGAATAAGTGCCTCCTCCGGGTCCTGGTTTATATGTCCTTAATAAGGATTATAGTAGGGGGTACCAGAATCCCCAACAAGGACTGTTAGTCTAAGGGGGGGGAGCATCTCAATCTTGAGGGTTTTCTTGGGTTTCATGAGGGCTCTTTGGGGCTGATTGTTCAGGGTTTGGGGTATTAGGGAGCTTGGGAATGTTGAAGGTTTGTAAGGATTTCGGGAGCTTAGGAGGCCCCTTAAACCATAAGCTAGGTTCCTTAGGATGACCCTAAGCCCTAAACCTTAAGCCTGAAAACCATCTGACAATCCTAACGGACTGCGTGCACCCTGGAACCCTAAACCCTAAACCCTAAACCCTAAACCCTAAACCCTAAACCCCTAAACCCTAAACCCTGGCAACTTCGCATCTGGACTTCACAGATGCCCCCAAAAAAGGGGGTGTTTTTTGGGGGGGTTTGGGGGTTCCGAAGCCGCAAGGCTGGAGTTCCCCAAAAAATAGCCTCGGGCTCAGGGTCTAGGGTTTAGGGGTTTCGGGTTTAGGGGTTTCGGGTTTGGGGTTCAGGGCTTCGGGCTCAGGGGTTTAGGGTTTAGGGGTTTAGGGGTTTAGGGGTTTAGGGGTTTAGGGGTTTAGGGGTTTAGGGGTTTAGGGGTTTTGGGGTTTTGGGGTTTTGGGGTTTTGGGGTTTAGGGGTTTAGGGGTTTTGGGGTTTTGGGGTTTGGGGCTTCGAGTTTAGGATTTAGGGCTTTGGGCTCAAGGGGCTCAAGGTTCAGGGTTTAGAGTGTCAGGTCTGGGTTCAAGGTCTGGAAGCCCTCAAAAACTACTATTTGTTTAAGAGCCCTGCCCCCCCCCCAAAGAAAAAATATATATACATATATATATATATATACACATTCTTCCTTATTAGGGCAATATAGGGATTACATGGGATTGCTTTTTTGTCTGTTTTGGGGGTTCTTAAGCAAAGAGTAGACAAAACCCTGCAGAGTCCTGGGCTCCCCTGCTGTGTGCGACGACGTCGCAGCCCGGGAGGACCGTCTCATTCCAGATCTCCGGGTTGGGCATGGACTACTGGGTTTAGGGTTTAGGGTTTAGGGCTTAGGGGTTTAGGGTTTAGGGTTTAGGGTTTAGGGTTTAGGGTTTAGGGTTTAGGGTTTAGGGTTTAGGGTTTAGGGTTTAGGGTTTAGGGTTTAGGGTTTAGGGTTTAGGGTTTAGGGTTTAGGGTTAGGGTTTTAGGGGTTTAGGGTGTGTCAGGGGAGGGCGCGCGCTCGGGTGTGAAACACCCCGGGCCGCGCGCTCGCGTTGCCCGTCAACCCACCCCGGCCACCCAAACTATACTCTATTAGGGTTTAGGGTTTATGGAATTTACTTTCTTGTGCTCTGATGCTTGCTTTGATGTTTTTAAAGTTGCGCTGTTAGGGTTTAAGCTGGGGTTGGGGGTAGCCTCGGCCCTTTTCGGGCCTTCGGCGTGTCAGGGCCCGTAGAGGCCCTTATTTATTTGAAGGTCAGGGAAACCCTTTGTGTCTGCTTTTGGATTCCCCTTCTTTAAGGGCCTCAATTAAGCATCGATTTCACTACCAAAAAATCGCATTTTTCATTGCGGGTACGGGCATCCTGGGGTCCCCCTTCTTTTAGGGGGCCTTTTGAAGCCTTTTGGGGTCTCTCGGGGCCTTGTTCGGACCTTCGGCGTGTCAGGGGCCGTAGAGGCTTTATTCATTTAAAGGTCAGGGAACCTATTAATGAATTTTTCGCCAATGAGTCTTTCAATCGCTAGGGTTTAAGCTCGGGTTCGGGGTAGCCTCGGCCCTTTTCGGGCCTTCGGCAAGTTAGGGCCCGTAGAGGCCCTTATTTGCTTGCAGGCCTTCGTAGGGTTTTGCGGTGTTAGGGTTTAAGCTGGGGTTCGGGGTAGCCTCGGCCCTTTTCGGGCATTCGGCACGTTAGGGCCCGCAGAGGCCCTTATTTGCTTGAAGGCCGTCGTAGGGTTTTGCGGTGTCAGGGTTTAGGCTGGGGTTCGGGGTAGTTTCGGTCCTTTTCGGGCCTTCGGCACGTGGGCCCGTAGAGGTCCCCGATTTAGGGGGAGCCATCGATTTCAATACTAAAATGCGGGCAGGGGTGCCTAAAAACAATGTTTTCAATATTCTCATTGTGGGCACGGACAAATCTTGTGGTCCCCCTTCTTTTAGTGGGCCTTTTGAAGCTTTTGGTGGCTCTTGGCGCCTCTTGGGGGCTTGCCCTTTTTGGGGGGGGCCCTTGGCAGGGTTAGGCCCTTGGTCCGGCAAGGGGTTTGGCCAAGGGGGCGTAGTGTTGGGGGTCCTTGACTCAGGGGTCTTGGTCCGGGGGGCCCTTGGCCCGGGGGGCGGGGGGCCCTTGGCTCAAAGGACCCTTGGCCGGGGGGCCCTTGGCCCGGCGGGGGGCCCCTTGGCCCGGGGGGCCCCTCCTTGGGTCGGGGGGCCCTTGGCCGGGGGCCCTTGGCCGGGGGGGCCCTTGGCCCGTGGGGGGGCCCTTGGTTCGGGGGCATTTGGCCCGAGGGGCCCTTCCTTGTCCCGGGGGCCCTTTGCGCGGGGGGTTTTTTCGGGGGACCCTTGGAACGGGAGACCCGCGGGGGGCCCTTGGCCCGAGGGGCCCTTGGCCCGGCGGGGCCCTTGCCCCGGAAGGCCCTTGGCCAGGGGAGCCCTTGGCCCGGAACCCCTTGGCCAGGGGGGCCTTGGGGGGCCCTTGGCGCGGGGGGGCCCTTGGCCCGGGGGCCCTTGGCCGGGGGCCCTTGGCCCGGGGGCGGGGGGCCCTTGGTTCGGGGGGCCCTTGGCCCGGGGGGCCCTTGGCCCGGGCCCGGGGCCTGGAAATCCGTGAAAAAGCCCCCAAAATCACGAAATTGAGCAACCAGCCTGCCTGGACCCCTCGCCAGCCTCCTGGTCCAGGAATCCAGCTACCAGGGACCAGAGGGCCCCCGGGGGGGGGGCCCGACAAACCCTGAACCCAAAACCCTGAACCACCTCCAGAGACAAAGGGTTACGATTTGGGGTTATACTTTAGCTACGCTAAAGGTGGTCTGGGTGCCGGCCATCCCTTAGCCGAGTACTGACGTTGTCGTAAAAAAGGCCGATGTCCGTTGGCCTGTCCAGGACAGACGGTGAGGCTTAACCCTCACCTTTCCGTTTCTCTTTTCGCTTGGGCGCTCGGCCGAGCGTTCGGGGTCTGTCGCTCGACGGAAGCGACCCCTCACTTAGTTTAGGGTTTAGGTTTGGGGTTCTCAGCATGTTAGGCAACTCGAACTCTTAGACATCGAAACCTCTCTAAGATAAATCCTAAACCCTAAACTACCTCTTTGAGCAGAGACCCTAAGCCCAAACCCCCACCCCAAACCCCCAACCTTTGCCCCTAAACCCTAAACCCTAAACCCTAAACCCTAAACCCTAAACCCTAAACCCTAAACCTTTGAAGAAAACAGAACCTAGCTAAGCCCTCGCGGTGCCTCGTAGGTGCCGGAGAGGTTCAGCACCCCGCCCACGCAGGCCGGCAGTTGGCGCCCGGAGCCCTTGCTCTCCTGGTTTAGGGTTTAGGGTTTAGGGTTTAGGGTTTGGGGTTTAGGGTTTAGGGTTTAGGGTTTAGGGTTTAGGGTTTGGGGTTTAGGGTTTAGGGTTTAGGGTCTAGGGTTTAGGGTTTAGGGTTTAGGGTTCAGGGTTTAGGGTTTAGGGTTTAGGGTTTAGGGTTTAGGGTTTAGGGTTTAGGGTTTAGGGTTTAGGGTTTAGGGTTCAGGGTTTAGGGTTTAGGGTTTAGGGTTTAGGGTCCTCTACACCCTGAGCCCGGCTCGATGGCTTAAGGGCTTTCGGGCTTCGGGATGCTATGAGGGTGAACCCTAAAGCCCTAGACGCTAAACCTAAACCCAACTAAACCCTAAACCCTAAACTTTTGAAGAGAGCAATCCTTGGCGAGGCCGCTTCGTTGGAGGTTGCCAAAGCTGTCGCGCGCCTGACCTTTGCAAGTGGATGAAGAAAGAAACATAAACAAAAAAAAACGAGGGGTCAGGGCTTATGGGTTTGTGGTTGAGGGTTCAGGGTTAGCTGCCCTGAACCCTAAGCCCTAAGCCATAAGCCCTAAACCCTAAACCCTAAACCCTAAACCCTAAATCCTAAACCCTAAAGCGCAGGGGGTTCAGGGTTCAGGGTCCCGGGTGTAGCGTGGACTTCGAGGCTTCGCCAAAAAGTCCCCACCCCCGATGCTGCAAGCCCTGAAGAAGGGGTCGGTTTAGGGTTTAGGGTTTAGGGTTTAGGGTTTAGGGTTTAGGGTTTAGGGTTTAGGGTTTAGGGTTTAGGGTTTAGGGTTTAGGGTTTAGGGTTTAGGGTTTGCCAATCGTGTTCCCTTATGGTGCGTTTATAGTTATACTATAGTAACCCCCCAACACCCTTCAGGATTACAGGGTTTGGGGTTTAGGGTTTCGGGTTTTGGGGTAGGGTTTGTAGGGTTTATAGGGGGTTTATGATACCGTTTATATAGGGTTCATAGGGTGTATCGGGTTTATAGTGTTTAAAGGGTTTTTGGGGTGTATATGGTTTATAGGGTTTGGGGTTCAGGGTTCAGGTTTTGCCCTTTCGGGTTGAGAGTCCGCCCCCTAAACCCTAAACCTAAGCCCTCAACCCTGAATCCTAAGCCCTAAGCCCTAAACCGTAAACCCTAAACCCTAAACCCTAAACCCTAAACCCTAAACCCTAAACCCTAAACCCTCACCCTAAAGAGGCCTCCCCGTTGCTGCAGGAGGAAGCTCTGCCGCGCCGTGCTGACGTCCTCCCGGAACTCATCCCAGATCCCTGGGCACAGTAGGCGCTAGTAGGGTTTGCGGGTTTAGGGTTTGGGGTTCAGGGTTCAGGGTTTAGGGTTTAGGGTTTAGGGTTTAGGGTCTAGGGTTTAGGGTTTGGGGTTTAGGGTTTAGGGTTTAGGGTTTAGGGTTTAGGGTTTAGGGTTTAGGGTTTAGGGCTAGGGGGTTTAGAGTGTCGAGTTTCGGGTTAAAGGTTTAGGGTTCAGGGTTGAGGTTTCAGGGAACAGAGATTTCTTACATTCGGAGCAAGTCTCGGTGTAGTGACTTCGGCTCCTGCTGTAGCCCCTAAACCCTAAACCTTCAACCCTAAACCCCAAAGCCCACCTAGGAGGTAATGCTGCGGGAGGGAGGTGAACTTGAGGGTTGGGCGCCGCCAAAACTTAGGGCTGGGGGGAGGGGGGGGAGTTAATGGGGATTACGGTGTGAGGTGTGGGGTTGAGGGTTTTGGGTGTAAGGTTTAGAGTTTGGGGTTTGGAGTTTCGTGCTTGGGTTTTGACTTTGAAATTATGACTTCGGGCAAGGGGCTTCTTGGCTTGAGGTCTGGGAAGTGGTTTAGGAGGTGTAGGAGGCTTGATGGTCTTTGGAGGGATTCCCGCCCTGATGGGGATGTGGAAAAAGGGGTACAGGGCTTAGAGCTCAGGGTTTCGGGTTCAGGGTTCGGGGTTTCAGGTTTGGTTCAGGTTTGGTCAAGGCCTTGGGTTCTGGGCGTGTTCTTGTTCATAGGGATTGCAGTACCCCCCCCCCATTATAGTCCGTATGAAGGACTGTCGGTAAAAGGGGGAACATCCCAACCTGAACCCTAAAACCCCAAACCCTCAACCAACCCGAAACTGTACCCCTCCACCCTATCAACCCTCAATCCCAAACCCGAAGCCAGCCCCATCCCAAGGTTTTGGGCTCAATCCCTAAACCCTCAAACCACACCTGAGGGGCTGCCGAGGAGACCCTAAGCCCCCGACTTTCCGCAAGGGCGACAGGCAAGGCCCAGGCAAGGAGGAGACATGCCATCCTTGCCATCCCTTGCTACAGGATTCTGCAGCCTGGAAGCCTGGAAGTCGGAGCTACCCAGGTTTAGGGGTTTGGAGCTTAGGGTTTCAGGGCTTTTTGCTGTTGTTTTTTGTTTTTGTTTTTTTTTTTTTGGGGGGGGGGGGGGGGGGGGTCGGGCTTACGAAGATGAACTCAACTGCGAGGCTTGCCAAGCATGACTGAAGGTTCGAGAATTCTCAACTACACCCCGCTGACCCCCCTAAAAACGCTCCTCAGGCTGCAAAAGGCCCTGCCAATAGCTGGCTCGGGCGTGACACGCGGAGCCGCACTGCTCCGCAGCGAGACATGTACAAGAAATTTCGCAGGCCACGAGCGGCACGCGAAAAGGAAGGGTCTCGAGCCGTTCCTCTGGACATGGCGGCAGATGTAGAGTTCAGGCTTCCACAGGAATTTGGGGTTTAGGGGTTTAAGGCTTAGCGAACCCCGCTTTTTTCGCCAAACATCACCGAGTTCGACGTTGCAAACCATGAGTTCAAGCCGAGGCCCCCTCGCTGCGGCCCCTTTTCTGAAGTCTTTCTGCATTGCACGTGAGGCTTTCGGGTCTCCTATGCTTGTTCAGGGTGGATGCTCTTTGGGCATTAGATTTTGCCTCCCCTTAAAAACCCCTCGTCGCCCCTCTACCGCTACATCTCTGATGCTCACTTTGTGCATCAACTACCGAGACCTTCAGACGGGATATGTGCCTACGGCTCTGCGGTGGGTACAACTTTCGGCCTAGGTAACCCTAAACCCTAAACCCTAAACCCTAAACCCTAAACCCTCTTTTTACCGCACACGCGCGCAGCTCACCCGGCTGGGGCCGCTTGACGAGTGCTGAGGCGACAGGTGGGCAGTCCTCTCAGGAGTGATCCCATCTTCTGCCTATGCTGTAGCAGCCTTCTTGAGACCATTTTTGCAACTACAAAGAGGTCCCGACGGCTTCCCAATTGAACCACTCTAGCAGCCGTGGAAGCTTTGATTAAAGTGTCTGCGGCAAGGCCCCAAGAGTCGCCTAGGAATAAGGAATAAAAGGATACCCTTTTGGGTTAAAGGGGCTAAAAAGGGAACCTAAAACCCTAACACAAAGGCTGTCAGGGCCTACTATTTTGGGGGGGATCTCTCAAAGCGTCATGATAGTTCGGCCTGCAGCCTGCTCTCACGAAAAAACAAGTGCTAGGTAGTTTTCTGATGTTTAGGGCTTAGGGAGTTCGAGTTTTTTTGCGGCGAAGGCTCGGGAATTTGGGATCTCGGGTTTGGGCTTGGGGTTTCGTTTTTCCGGCTTTTGGGACTCGGCTTTGGGACTCAGGGTTCAGGGTTCAGGGTTCAGGGTTCAGGGTTTAGGGTTTAGGGTTTAGGGTTTAGGGTTTAGGGTTTAGGGTTTAGGGTTTAGGGTTTAGGGTTTAGGGTTGAGGGTCCAAGTTGGGGCAGAATGCGGCATGACCCTGGCATCGCTGTGGTCTAGCTTGGGTCTAGGGCCTAGGGTACCCAGAAACCCCTAAACCCTAAACCCTAAACCCTAAACCCTAAACCCAAAACCCTGAACCCTCAAGTGGCTCCTGTGCAAGCTTGGCGACTTCGGGGATCTGCGCTGCCTCCGCCGGATCTTCTGCATCTCCACCTTGGCCGCGGCAAAGTGCTGCATGAACCCCCTCACCCCTCGCTCCCCCCCCAAGGCAGAAAGTGCAAAAGGGCACCCTAAACCCTAAACCCTTAACCCTTAACCCTTAACCCTAAGCTCTAAGCCCTAAGCCCTAAGCCCTAAACCCTAAACCCTAAACCCTAAACCCTAAACCCTAAACCCTAAACCCTAAACCCTAAACCCCAAGTAGAGCCCGGACTTTTTCTGCCCGCAGTTTCCGCGTGGCCCTGGTGGTCGGCATCCAGTCGCGTCGACCCACCCGGCCGGGAGCTCGAACTCTCAGGCTTTGGCTCTACAGCAACGACTTTCAACAAACCTCCCTAAGCCCTAAACGCCCTAAACCCTAAACCCTAACCCTAAACCCTAAACCCTAAACCCTTGCCCCTAAACGTAAACATCCTGTACACTCCCGGCCCCCCCGAGATGAAACCCTTGGAGCCCCCCAGCTGATCTCGCCTGAGGAACTCTCCCGGCTCTGGGCAGATCGCAGCAGGTTCCTGAAACAGGTGGGACTAGCGGGTTTAGGGTTTAGGGTTTAGGGTTTAGGGTTTAGGGTTTAGGGTTTAGGGTTTAGGGTTTAGGGTTTAGGGTTTAGGGTTTAGGGTTTAGGGTTTAGGGATTAGGTAGGGTTGATTGGGTGTTATGGTATGTTTAAGACCTTCCCACTTGTTGCGCTTAGCAGGATTGCTGCTCTGAGCAAGTCGCGGTAACAGGGCTGCAAACCCCCCCACTTTGCGCTGCCCAAAAACATCGCCGGCAGACTTGTTGGGACCGCCCTGCGAACGGAACAAGTAAGGCTCCAGACTGGAATGCCGTTATCAAAAAAGATTGTGGAAGCCATGTTGCCACTCCTTTCCATATGGCTCCAAGTAGCGTACGAGTCGACAAACACAGAGGGGCTATCGTGCAAGTACCTACTCCTCCTACTACTACTCCTCCTCCTTCTCCTCCTCCTCCTGCTGCGGCGGCGGCGGCGACGGCGACGGCGACGGCGACGGCGACGGCGACGGCGACGGCGACGGCGGCGGCGGCGGCGACGACGACGACGACAACTGCCACTGCTGCTACCACAACTACCACTACTACCAACACTACGACTACCACCACCACCACCACCACTACTACCACTACTACTAGTATTGCCACTGCTACCAGTGCTACCACTACCACTACCATTCGCGCCACCACCAACATTACCATTACTACCGCTACTTCTACCACTATTAGCACACCCTACCACAACACATCTTCCTACTACCACCACGAGTACCACTACCACGGCCACTGCTCCTGCTACTACGACTACTACCACCACTACCACTTCCACTACCACGACGACGACTACTGCACCCTTGGCGGGAGTCGCGATCGTGTGTAGCACGGAATGGAGCGGCAAGCAAGGAAAAGTTGAAAATGAATTCATGCACTGGGCACCCACCAAGTTTGAAGGTGCCTGGAATTGGAACAAGACTCCCCAGTCTCCAAGGCAACGCGGTGCGTGCACCTGGAGCCAGCTACCACTGACTTCCCCTGCAAGTTGGCAGCCTCTCCGTGCTAAGGGCGTCCACAGATCAGCGCGAAAATGGCACTTGTTTTAGCATTGGCCGCTGGTTGCAGTTGCATCGTAGCAGCACAGCAAGCAGCAGCGAAAATTGGAACTGCTAAAACGCCTGAGATGGAAGGCCTAGATCTGTGTGTTGTGGGTGAACATGGAGACCAGGTCAACGAGCTGTGTGAGGGTTTCAGACTCCACCTGCCTGCCATACCTAGTTCATGGTTGGGATAATCTTAAAAACTTCAATGTTTATTCCCTATAGGGTTTAAGTACCCTCAAAAAAATGTAAAATGGTACCCCCAACTTTGAAAATGATACAAGTGAGAGAGGATGAGCGCCGCGGCCTCTGCGATGCCTAGGCGAGCAGTGTTGACCACTGGGAAGCCCGGGAAGCTCTTCGTGTAGAACATCCTCACCTTCTCCTAGACTCCCCTTGGAACCTTCATAAAAACCAATATTATTCATATCCTCTTGGGTCTTATATGAACAAAAATAAAACTTAAAAAAAAAAAAAAAAAAAAAAAAAAAAAAAAAAAAAAAAAAAAAAAAAAAAAAAAAAAAAAAAAAAAAAAAAAAAAAAAAAAAAAAAAACATAATTCCCAAGGGGGATGTAGTCTCCAGCTCCTCTCGGATCACACCCATGGTGGCATAGCGGGAGCTCGACCGGCCCAGGCGCAGCATCCGCTGCTGGCGGATGCTCTGGAGCTGCTTCGCGTCGGTGGTGAGCAAGGCCAACTTCCTAATTCATGGTTGGGATGGTATATATATATATATATAAAGATACTCCTTATTGGGTTTAAGTACCCTTAAATATCTAAATTGATATTCCTTATTGGGTTTAAGTACCCTTAAATATTTGAATTGATATTCCTTATTGGGTTTAAGTACCCTTAAGAATGCAGCATGCTGTCCAACTCTGACAAAGCTTCTTGCCGTCCACTTGGAACAGCTGGCTCGGCGGCTCTTCGCCGGGCACCAAGGGGTAGTTGGCGACCCGGAGGCCGAGCTTGGCCAGGTAGCTAGCCTCTACTCCCCCTTAGAGAACCTTCATAAAAAAGAGTATGTTTAATATCCCCTTTTGGGTTTTATATGAACAAAAGTATTTGGCCCCTTAGAACCTCAATAAAAAACAACAGTCTTATAACATCCCCTTTTGTTTTATAGGAACAAAATGTTTTCAAAAAAATCATTCCCAAAGGGGATAGAGTAGCTAGGGTCGTCTTGCCGGTGCGGGAGGGGCCCACAAGGACGACGTCGGCCTCATGCCAGAGTTGTGGCTGAAGCCCATCATCGGCCTTCTCCTTACTGTTGGTTTAGGGTTTAGGGTTTAGGGTTTAGGGTTTAGGGTTTAGGGTTTAGGGTTTAGGGTTTAGGGTTTAGGGTTTAGGGTTTAGGGTTTAGGGTTTAGGGTTTAGGGTTTAGGGTTTAGGGTTTCGGGTACCCTATATCCCCCTGTATATCCCCTTTAAAGGCTTATATAGGGTACCTCATTCCCTCATTCCCTACTACCCAACAGCAAGTCTCGAAAAACGCCTTCGCCTCGGCGATGGCGGTCTGGAGCTGGGCGATGGCATTCTTGGAGATGATGCTGGCGGGCGTGTCGCGGGTCAGGGCGAGCGCGACCTGCGCAAACGCGGGAAAATCTTGAACACCCGAAACCCGAAAAACAATAAAAACCTATGAACCCGATAAAGCCCTATAAATCCTAGAAAACCCTAGAAAACCCTAGAAACTCCCTTAACCCTTAAACCCTAAACCCTTTTAAGCCCCCTAAACCATTTAACCCAGCAAAGGCCCGCCTGCTGCCGCACATCCTCCTCCTGGCCTGTCCCAACCTCCTGGACAGCCTCCTGCACATTCGTGAAGGTAAAACCCTGAAGTCCCTCAAAAAAGCACCCGAACCCTATAAGCCCCAAAACCCCCAAAAACCCCATGAACACTGTGAACCCTACAAAAACCCTGCATAAACCCTATCTCAACCCTATATGAACCCCACATACACAAAAAAAACTGTACAACCCAACTAGTGAACCCAAAACCCAAAACCCAAAACCCTAAACCCTAAACCCTAATCCCTAAACCCTAAACCCCAGCTCACCCGATAAACCCTCTAAACCAAGTCCTGCACCTGAAGCTGGGGGAGCGCGGCCCTGGCCACAAAGGCGGCCCGGGTCCTGGTTTAGGGTTTAGGGTTTAGGGTTTAGGGTTTAGGGTTTAGGGTTTAGGGTTTAGGGTTTAGGGTTTAGGGTTTAGGGTTTAGGGTTTAGGGTTTAGGGTTTAGGGTTTAGGGTTTAGGGTTTAGGGTTTAGGGTTTAGGGTTTAGGGTTTAGGGTTTAGGGTTTAGGGTTTAGGGTTTAGGGTTTAGGGTTTAGGGTTTAGGGTTTAGGGTTTAGGGTTTAGGGTTTAGGGTTCCGGGTTTCGCGTTTCGGGTTTGGAGTGTTTAGGGTGTTTAGGGTGATCTGGGTTGTTTAGGGTGTTTAGGGTGTTTAGGGTGTAGGATTTAGGGGGGTTCGGGTTTGGGGGTTGCGGTTTTTAGGGTTTAGGGCTGAATTGTGCCCCCCTGTGGGTTCCTGTTAGCGCGACAATATTGGTAGTTGTAGCTGCTTAAGCCCCCGAACGATGAGAGAAGCGAGAGCAACGAAAGTTATATCGATCCTCCCTTCCCCCCTAAACCCTAAACCCTAAACCCTAAACCCTAAACCCTAAACCCGAAACCCAAAGCCCTAAACCTAAACCCTAAACCCTACACCCGACACCCTAAACCCTAAGCCCCTAACACCGGAAAATGAAGCCCCAGCCCGGCCGCAGCCGTGTAACGACAAGGATCCGCTTGCACCCACCTTTCGCTGCACAGCCGAGCCCGGCGAGGCAAGCGACGACACCGAGGCGGCCGTCCCGGAGACCCGCCGCCGAGGAACCCCTTTGAATCGCAGCCGAGTTTTCAGGGTGAGGGTTTAGGGTTTAGGGTGTAGGGTTTGGGGTTGAGGGTTTAGGGTTTAGGGTTTAGGATTTAGGGTTTAGGGTTTAGGGTTTAGGGTTTCGGGCTTAGGGTTAGGGATGCCCAAAGGCCTAAACCCGACAAGCCTCAAGATAGACTTTTTTGCACCTAGAGTCACCCCAGAAGGCAGTGTAAGGTTCAGGGGCCGACACTGGTCTAGGGTTTAGGGTTTAGGGTTTAGGGTTTAGGGTTTAGGGTTTAGGGTTTAGGGTTTAGGGTTTAGGGTTTAGGGTTTAGGGTTTAGGGTTTAGGGTTTAGGGTTTAGGGTATGGGACGCCAGAAACTTTGGGGTTTTGACGTCCAAGTCTTCTTCAACTCTTGTAAAAACTGGTGAACGCATGGCAACCGATTCACTGAACGCCTGGACCAGAGTGCGTAGGTCGGTGTAGGTGTGAGGCAGATCTCAACATCAGTTCAGCAGCTACTCTTTGGGCGTGGCACTATCTTGACTCAAAGGAGGTAGCGCATCTCCATATATCCTGGGTTCGGGGATCCCAGGGCTTAGTTTTGGGGCCTAAACCCTAAACCCTAAACCCTAAACCCTAAACCCTAAACCCCTCCACGCTCGCGGTGCCTGGCTCCCTGGCGCGGGCCCGGAATACGACTGGTGGGGATGGAAGAATGCACGGCGCCGACTTGTGCAACCGCCATGGAAAAGGCCGCCATGTTCTGCAGCAGACCTTCAACCCTAAACCCTAAACCTTAAACCCTAAACCCTAAACCCTAAACCTTAAACCCAACTGGGAAGTGGACGGGAATGATGTAGTGAGTCAAGTTTGGCTGGTGTTATTGCGTGAAAGGTGTGTGTGTGTGTGTGTGCCAAGAACACGAGGCTGGATGGCTGCGACAGAGGTGCATTGTCCAACCGGCATCTGCTTGCCACCCACTAGTTATGACCCTGAACCCTAAACCCTAAACCCTAAACCCTAAACCCTGAACCCTAAACCCTAAACCCTAAACCCTAAACCCTAAACCCTAAACCCTAAACCCTAAACCCACTCACTAGTTATGTTGTTTTCCACATTTAGCCTTCTTTTGTCTCCTCTCTCTCTCTCTCTCTCCCTCCCTGTCCCTCTCTAAAACCCTCAACCCTAATTCAACCTTTTACCCTCTTTGCAACCGAAGGTTTAGGTGTTGGGAGTTTGCCTACTGGTTCTTAATGAGGGAATGAAGTACATAATACAGTCCCTTAAGAGTATATATAGGGGGATATAAGGTACCGCATTCCCGTTCCCTACGAGCAACGCCCTAAACCCTAAACCCTAAACCCTAGACCCTAAACCCTAACCCTAAACGGGAGTTCGGGGACGTGAAGCGGTCTGCCATGGTCGCTTGGCACCGCGCGCTCAAGCCATGGCACTTTCACCTCGTGGCGGCTGCCGACTTGACAGGTGGGTTGAGGGTTTCGGGTTCGAGTTTAGGGTTGAGGGTTTCGGGTTCAGGTTTAGGGTTTAGGGCTTAGGGCTTAGGGCTTAGGGGGGGGTTTTGGGGTTTAGGGTTTACGGGGTTTTGGGGGTTTAAGTATAGGGTGCTATACGGCTCTAGCGTAAGTCTAAGACAAGGGCCAGGCTCATATCGCCCTCAATGGAGTGAGGCTCAGAAAACAGAGCATGAAGAGGCCCCCAGCCCCCCCAAGGGTTTAGGGTTTAGGGTTCAGGGTTTAGGGTTTAGGGTTTAGGGTTTAGGGTTTAGGGTTTAGGGTTTAGGGTTTAGGGTTTCGGGTTTCAGCGTCTGGCTTGGGGTTTAGGGCTTTCGGAGTCGCGTCGCACAATAGCAAGTTGTATCCCCCCCCCCACTTGCAACCGTGGGGGGGGACCTCGAGGTAGAACACTGGCACAATCAGAGGGGCCCTTGCAAGCTCAACCCCTACCGCGCTACACACCTAAACCCCCTCAAGTCGAACTGCGCGTCGCTGCTGCTCTGAGCCTGGTAGTGCCTAGCGCCCGAAGTTGCAGAGAAGCCCAAGTGTCGCGCGCAGGTCTCCCCGGAACGGCTCAATGTCGGAGACCTCGTGGCGTTGGGGGGAGTCTGGCATTCTTCGAGCCCTAAACCCTAAACCCTAAACCCTAAATCCTACACCCGGTTTTGGGATTTAAGGCTTCGTGGGGGGGGGAAGGGGACGCCAAGGCACATCCCAAAGAGCCCAATACCCCTCAATTAGGGAAGGAGACCTTCAATCTCAGATTAAGGATCCCTTCTGTATATGAAGGTCCTGTGCTTACTTTCTTAGGGTATTGGGCTCCTTGGGTCTTCTGCAAAGTCGACTTTCGGGAAGGGGCTATCTTGGAGATATAAGGTTTCAACTCCTTTGAAACCCAAAACTCTAAACCCCAAACCCTAAACCCCAAACCCTAAACCCTAAACCCCTTCAACAAAAAGGAGGCCGCCCTGAAAAGACAGCCCAGCCCAGGCCTGGCACGGGCACGAAGGGCGGCTTTCAGTCGGATGAAGCCCCACCAGCCTCAAAAAGATTGAAGGGTTTTCAGGTTCCCCTAGACCCTAAACCCTAAACCCTAAGCCCTCATAAACCCTCAGCCCTAAACCCTAAACCCTGAACCCCCGAACCCTAAAAAATATTTCGAGATCCTCCACCGTGGCTTTGAAATTCAGAGGTCATCACGTCCCTGAAAACCATCGAACAACTCGACTCTGATCCTGCGCATGCCTGAAGTTCAGGGCTGAGGGCTCTTATGGGCTCCATGAGCATGCCTGAAGCATATAGGAGGTTTTTGGGTTTAGGGTTTAGGGTTTAGGGTTTAAAATTTAGGGTTTAGGGTTTAGGGTTTAGGGTTTAGGGTTTAGGGTTTAGGGTTTAAGGTTTAGGGTTTGGGGTTTAAGGTTTAGGGTTTAGTGTTTAAGGTTAGGGTTTAGGGTTTAGGCGAGGTCTAGGGCGTAGCTCTGAGACTGAGACTCCGCGCAAGGCCCTCCTACAAGTAAGCTTGTCGAAGATAGTTCCGCGAACGAGACGATAGGCGGTGCACAAAAAAACATTCTGATCGGCCAGAATAAAGTTAAACGGTTGCGGATGGGAAGGGTTCGGGTTCAGGGTTATGGTCGCTTCTCTTAAATATGATTCCTTTTGGAGTCCTTGTTATAAGGAGGCCCCGACGAAGCCCCGTAGAGGTCTAGGGGACACGAAGATTGCACCGTTCCCTAAGAAGGTACCCGCTGTATATACCCTTTAAGGAGTTTACTAGTTGCTTAAGAACCCCCCCCCCAAAAAAAAATGGGGGGGTTCTTAAGCAAATAGTAGTTATGTGGGGTACCTCCTACAACCTCCTCTGTGTGAAATGAATCCCAACCTTCACAGCTTCTGCGCTATGCCACGCCCCTGCGCCCGTCACTTCCTCCGGCATTGCACTTGAAGGGATTGCATAGGGCACGTACCTAATTCTCTCATTCCCTACCAAGAACCAGGGCGACGATGCTTTGGGAGCTCAACCCAAAACTTCTACAGTCTGCTCAGGGTCAAGAGGGGGGGGGGTAGGGTTTGGGTTTAGGGTTTCGGGTTTAGGGTTTAGGTTTAGGGTTTAGGGTTTAGGGTTTAGGGTTTAGGGTTTAGGGTTTAGGGCTTAGGGGTTAGGGGTTAGGGTGTAGGGTTTAGGGTGTAGGGTTTAGGGTTTAGGGTTTAGGGTTTAGGGTTTAGGGTTTAGGGTTTAGGGTTTAGGGTTTAGGGTTTAGGGTTTAGGGTTTAAGCTGAGGGTTTAGGGTTGCTGAGGCTCAACCAAGACTGACTATGGAGACTATGAGGCAGTTTCTGCCGTTCCTCAGGCCAAAGCTGTGTGCTCAGCAGCTTCTGCAGGTCCTGCAAATCGGCGTGCGTGCGTGCCTGTGTGCCTGCGTGCCCAGTCAACCAAGGCCAGAAAGTATTTCTGGGTTGGCCCATGAAATCTTGTGAACATGAGACCCTCTGAAAAAAGAAATCCTCCCCAAACCCTAAACCCTAAACCCTAAACCCTAAACCCTAAACCCTAAACCCTAAACCCTAAGAACCCATGGAAGCATCTCTGAGTTCTTGCTGCGGTCCTTCCACATAGAGTTTGGCATCCAAGGTTCTGGGCTTATGGCTAAATCCCAAACCCCAAACCCCAAACCCCAAACCCCAAACCCCAAACCCCAAACCCCAAACCCCAAACCCTAAACCCTAAACCCTAAACCCTAACCCTAAACCCTAAACCCTAACCCTAAACCCACCTTCTGGCCTTGGGCTCTCAAGACTTCGGCTTTCGCGTCTTCGGTATGGAGACCATCAAGGAACTCCAAACAACAAACGCAGCCCTCAACCCGAAACCCCTGAGTCCTGAACCCTGAACTCGAACGTTTAGCCCTAAACCCTGAACTCGAACGTTTGGACCCATCTGTTGGGGTGATTAAAAACTTCGGGCCTGGGGCTACTTGAGGTTCAAGGCATGCGAGGAGGTGCAGTAGCTGGTCGATCTTGCGATCCATCTCCTGGCAGCACCAACAAAAAAAGGGGGGGGTTTAGGGTTTAGGGTTTAGGGTTTAGGGTTTAGGGTTTAGGGTTTAGGGTTTAGGGTTTAGGGTTTAGGGCTTAGGGTTTAGGGTTTAGGGTTTAGGGTTTAGGGTTTAGGGTTTAGGGTTTAGGGTAGGACTTTTGTTACATGCTCCCTTAGTATGGGCCCTTAAAAGGGAACATGCAACCCAAAGACCATCAGAACTCTTTTAAGGATACCTGGTGTACGGGCTTCGCCTTTAGGATGTCGGGATGTTGGGACTTACGTGCGAGTTTTGACTACGGAGTTCGTGCTTCAGGCACCTTATATCCCCTTGTATCACATGCCCTAGTTCCCTCAAAGAACCCTCGACCCTAACCCTAAACCCTAAACCCCGATTCCCAAGCACTCCGCAAGACCAGCACTTGGAGGCCCAGGGTCCTCATAACCCAATTATAAGTGTAGGGTTTTGGTTTTTGGGTTTGGGGTTTAGGGTCTAGGGTCTAGGGTTGAGGGTTTAAAGTATAGTAGTCGTAACCCACTTATGAGCGTAACCCATTATGAGCCCTTAAGTACCCCAACAGGGCTACAATTGGGTTATAAGTACAATGATAATTGGCGATCTCAGAAACATCAGGCGCCTTGATCTCGACGACTTCACGGCCGCCCCAAAGAACTCTGACTCCCCGGGCCTCTAGCCCTAGCTTAGGGTTTAGGGGTTGATGCTTGAAAATTGAGTGTTGTATTGGGGCTGGGTGACCCCAACACCTCCCAAAAACCAGAACTCTCCAGTCCAGCCTCTTGCTTCGCCTTAACTTCTTGGATCTGCGCCTGTAGGCGTAAGCCGGGCAACAAAAACCAGCGGAGCGGAGCAAAACGACAAGTGTCTGACAGAGTCTAGCAGACAGGCAAACAGGCAGTGTGCTGCTCGGCCCCAGAGAACACAGCCCTGTGCCTCCTGCTGCTTCATCTGCTCCTGCGGGCGACTGAAATAAGGTGTTGGTCCTTTAGTTACTGTGAGGCAGCAGTGGTCACCAGGGCACAAGGACTGTTGCGACCTAAACCCTAAACCCTAAACCCTAAACCCTAAACCCTAAACCCTAAACCCTAAACCCTAAACCCTAAACCCTAAACCCTAAACCCTAAACCCTAAACCCTAAACCCTAAACCCTTCTATTGCGGAGCACTCAGCCCTGCGCCTCCTGCTTCTTCATCTGTTCCTGCGCATGGTGCAAAAGATGCCACCTACTTTACTTGCTGTAAGGCTGCAATGTGTCAGCGAGCTTCGCACAATAGGCTCTGTCTCTGAGAAGCCTAGACCCTAAACCCTCGTATTCTCGGAGAGAGCCTCCTGCTTCGCCTCAACTCGCTTGATTTGCTCCTGCTGAAGGCAACGCCAACGAGGGCTCTTGACAGTTAGCTCAAAACGGCAAGTGATTAACCTACAGCTGCGAAAAGCCCAATCTCATGATTGCTCACATGTTCAGGTGCCCATGCCCAGAATCATAACAAAGAAAACAACAACTCCCACCCCGACTGAGGACCGGGTCACACGCGTCCTGCATTGCCGCGCGCAAACTCCGCACCTCGTCCACGGGAGCAGCATCGCGACAGAGAATCCAGATGCGGCAGTCTTTGGCGTATGCCCTTCCATCGTGCCCATGCCAGCCAAGAGCCGTGCGAAGCGTGAAGGACATGCCGTCGAAGCTGAAGAAGACCCCCAAGCAAAGGAAGATCAGAAAAGGACAGAGGGACATCACGAAGATCAGCGGCCAGAACGGCAGCATCAAGATGCTCAGCTTCGGCAGCAGATGCTGCATGTCTTTACTTCCAGGTCGATGCCCGAGGGTGACAGCCAACGGCAGCAGAGGAAATCGCAGCACCACTGCCTTCTTCGGATGATCGTCATCGTCCCCCTGCGCTGTGCCAAACACCTTGATGGTCCAGTGAATGGCCTTCGAAGCTGAAACAAAAGCTCCCGCCACGGAAGCGAATTCAATGTGACTGCTTTCTGGGAAACTATCCTAGCGTCATGTCACTTGCAGGAAATGCTCCAACTAAGCACCTTGCCGACATCACGCCCTTCACCCTCCCACATGACATCTTTGACAGGTGAGCTGCAAACTGAAGTCTTAGATGTGAGCATCCAGCTTTGTGAATTTCATATGAGGTAACTCTAGACTGAAATCCTCAATGTGCCCCCCGAGGCCTTGCTGCCGCTTTGAGTGCTTGGAAGAAGCCTGAGAACGTAGGCCCAAGGCCGATCTTGCAGCTGCCGAAGCATCTTCGCCCTCGCACGCTGGAAGAGAATCTCGCTGCGTCCCTGATAGAGCTCGAAGTTTTGGCTAAGGACTGCAATCAGGACATTCATCAGGAGGATGGTGATGCCCAGGCCGGTGCAGTAGAACAGCGTATGTGCCGAGGTGTAGCGCGACCCGGGCTCTGGGTCCACAGGTTCCAGCTCGTCGGTGACATTGTTTTGACGCAGGGTGGGGTCCAGGCCCTCGAACTCGAAGAGGTCGAAGTCGCCAAACAAGCCTAATCTGACAACCTGTATGATTGCCGCATACATCGGGGACGGTTCATCTCGCAGCTCCAGGTTGTAGTAGGCATGCGCTGCCGCAGCAACGCAAACCCCAGTAAGGAAAAAGAAGGCAAAGGTGTCCTTCAGTGCTGCTAAGATTGGAAGCAGCCGGGGGCCCATGAAGGACTCACCCCTTAAGTCGTACAATGCTTTGAGCCACACCATGGCGCACCAGACAGACATCAGTGGCTTCTCGAGCTCACGGGTTCCAAGCGAGAGCTGGCGAACGATTGCCAGCCAACCCACGAGGAGGTAGCCCACATCCGAGATGTTATCGAAGTCCACCTCTGGAAGTTGCCTTTTGCAGACGTCGCTGAAGTATTGCCACAGCTCCTCGTACAGCATCAATCATATGGTCGGTTCCTAAAATTATGGTCCGGTTTTGGGTACCCTAAATAAGAACCCTAAATAAGAGGAGCCGGCTTATAAGCACTCCAAAAGGGACCATAATTTAGAGAAGTGACTATATTGCTGCTCAAAAGAGAAGATCCTGACTAGAGCCCTTAGGATTGTGCGGCGTACTCAGGCTCCTCACAAGTTCTCTTGGCATGCAAAGTGAGTGCAGCATATAGGTACCACTCAGACCTCAGCAGACAAGTTGGGAATATACATGTGATTAAGATTGGCCTCGGGCAGGAACTCGGGCAGGACGCCTTACTCGTAACGATGAGCACACGATGTCTGAGCTCAGCGCGACTGCTGCCCATGCCGAAGGGCATGAGATGCGCGGAGCAGAAGTACCACGTTCGCCATGCCGAAGAAGATGTCGAGGGCTGTCCAAACCCGATACTGCCTCCACGCGGCGGAGACCACGGCGATGACCACCTCCTCCTGCAGTGACTCGTCATTCGTGGTCTTGGCCACGCTCTCCAGGAAGGACACTTTGCAGGCATCTGTGCCTAAAAGCCCGGGCAGGACCTTCAGGGTGCCCTAAACCCTAAACCCTAAACCCTAAACCCTAAACCCTAAACCCTACAACCTAAACCCTACACCCTAAACCCTAAACCCTAAACCCTAAACCCTGAAAGCCAAGGCGGGACCTTCAGCTTGGCCCCCACTTCCCGGGCGTGGAAGAGGTTCTGCCTCGAAAGGTCGATGTCATCTTTGTCCACCACGCCATCCTTGCATCACAGGCAGGAGGCCCGCAAGAATGCACGCCAAAGGCTCCGAGAACTTCAGGGGGTTTCGGGGGTTTGGGGTTTAGGGTTTGGGCTTAGGGTTTAGGGTTTGGGGTTTCGGGTTTAGGGTGTAGGGTTTGGGGTTTGGGTTTAGGGTTTAGGGTCACATCCACTTCTCGAGACCACATGCTTGCTGACCGGGTCACTCCAGAGCCTGCGCGGTTCGTGGTCAGCTCTCCAGCTAAGACTGCCCGCAGCGCGCCACTCAATGCGGCTCGGTCCACCTACTGGGACACGCACACACACACACAACAAAAAAAAAAAACACACACACACACACATGCACGCACGCACGCACGCACGCGCACACACACGCATGCAGCCACGCAGCCACGCACCCACTCACCCACCCACCCACCCACCCACGCATACATATACACACACACACACACACACACACACAACACACACACACACACACACACACACCACACACACACACACACACACACACACACACACACACACACACACACACACACACACACACACACACACACACACACACACACACACACACACACACACGAGCGCGGGCGCGCGCTAGCGCGCGCGCGCGCGCGCGCGCGCGCATGGCACCCAATGCTTCGGAGTATGCGTTAGACGGCAGTAAGAGGCATTGTGGGCAGCCACCGACAGACTGAGACTGAGAGTAACAAGAAGTAGGGTGCTGTAAAGATACTAGCAGGTAGAGAAGAAGCAAAGACACAGCTGGAACTGCTCTGTACCAGCTAACGCCCCGAGATCGCTGCAATGCTTAGTGAAGCCAAGGCTTGGGTGCGGGAACTTGTGTACTTTGCTTCTCTGCCCCCGGACTTTATTCACAAAGCCGGGCTGCTGATCCTGCCATGACGAAGCATGGCGACAGATTCCAGGGAACACACTTGGCAACAAGACGGTTGCTTCACAAGCCCTAAGCCCTAAACCCGAAACCCTGAATCCCTGAAACCCAAGCCCGAAACCCCAAACCCTAAACCCTAAACCCTTAACCCTTAAACCCTGAGCCCTAAACCCTAAACCCTAAACCCCAAACCCTAAACCCTAAACCCTAAACCCTAGCACTGCTGCTGCGAGTCGTGCCAGGCCTTGCCCTCGCGGTACCCATCGAAGACTGCAGCGTCGCTGGCCCATTCGCCGAGCATTCGCACTGCTTCCGGTCCTTCCCTCCCAACCAGCCAACTGAATCCTTCAAGGGACGAAAGGAGGGACCCTTATAAGGGATCCTAGGGGTTCTTTAGGGATAATGCTTGGGCTACTTAGGAGTATAGGGCCTATACAAGTCTATATACGGGCTATACAGGGGAATACGATTCAGGGTCCCTTCTAGAAATCCCTCCTTATGCCCCTGAGATCCTGTGATGCCAAAGACCTCCTGCACGTACTTCAAGCTGACCTTTTCCGGTGAAGTGCAGTCAAGGGGAGTCACTCCATTGTTGTCCTTGACGTTGACATCAGCCTCTCGAGAGACAGCTCTTGGCACATGCAGCTAAAGATCGTCTGCAGGCTGCAGATGACGTCTTACTTCGGCATGTTGCACAGCTAGCTTGCCCTAAGGGTACATGGAACAAAAGAAACACAGGGCGCTATCGCGAATTTGCTGCAGCTTGGGAGGCAAGTTTGCTTTCGTTGCGGTGCATGAAGGGGTTTAGGGTTAGGGTGTAGGGTTTAGGGTGTAGGGTTTAGGGTTTAGGGTTTGTTCCGGGCTGTCAGATGTTAAGGACAAAGCTGCGTTAGTGCGGGTGCAGGGGGCGCAAGCGGACACGTGCCTCTCACTTACTCGGCCCCCACTGCAAAAGAAAGCCCAGCACAAAAAAAAAATTGGATTCCTCAAAGCTGCCTTAGTCCTGCTCTTTCCAGCCCAATTTAATGATCCTTTTGGAGTGTTGCCGCTTAACGATGCACTTTGACCATTGTTTTACACAAACTCGTGCAAACTCTTTCAATGCCACGCACATCAAGTTGAACTAAACCAAGCCTTTGTTCGGTCCAAACAACTGACTGCCATAGTCTCTTCTTTAGTTCAACCAGCAGTGCAAGATCAGACACAATACACAGATCGTCAGTCCCAACAGTTTGCAATTCTTTCCTTGTCTGCCTTGATCGAGGGAATGACACGGAGTCCTACACCAACTGAATCCGAATTTCATGTGGTCGACATTTTTTCAAAGGTAGCCCCATCCTTTTTAGTCGTGGCTGCAATCATCACCCTAAACCCTAAACCCCTAGGGTTTAGGGGTTAGGCTTTAGGGTTTAGGGTTTAGGGTCCCTGCCTTGTTCTCCACAAGCATTCGCGCCAGCTCCGCGTGGCCAAACTGCACCGCCCAATGAAGGGCAACCCGCCCTTCCTCATCCCTGGCTTCGATGTCCACCTGGCTCGGGAAGACATCAAGCCGGCTGGCTTCCAAGAGGGTTTAGGGTTTAGGGTTTAGGGTTTAGGGTTCAGGGTTCAGGGTTCAGGGTTCAGGGTTCAGGGTTGAGGGTTGAGGGTTGAGGGTTTAGGGTTTAGGGTTCAGGGTTCAGGGTTCAGGGTTTAGGGTTTAGGGTTTAGGGTTTAGGGTTTAGGGTTTAGGGTTTAGGGTTTAGGGTTTAGGGTTTAGGGTTTAGGGTTTGTTGCCGGGAGCGGAGTGCGGCAACACTGCTTTCATCCTGGGCGCAAAAAACCTCAGACACAAAGAACCGAGATGAAGGCGGACGTCATGTGCCGTGGCGCAAGGGACTAACGAATTCTTTATGGAAACTGCACGCAGAACATTCCGATAAGCCAAGGTTGGTCAATGGATGTTTTTGTTGGCCAAGTGGTCTGCCCGGAAATCCCTGGGCTCTAGATGGCAAGCAGATGCAAGTAGCAGAGCTCATATGATAGGCGCTAATCACGAACACTCTGACACGATCTGCCGCATCAAGCTTGCAACGCTACGCACAACATATTTGAACTCCCCAAGGCCCAAGACTCCATCAGATACCCTAGACAAAACTGCCAACAAAGCTGGGCCCAAACCTCCTGTTTCTTGCAAGGATGCTGTTCCGTCTTAGCTAAGTTGCAACTCATCTCAGATTCGCGCGCCCGGCCTTGTGCTCCACAAGCATTCGCGCCACCTCCACGTGGCCACCAAATTGCACGGCCCAATGAAGGGCAGCCCGACCTCCTCCATCTTTGGCTTCAATCTTCACCTGGCTCGGGGCGCAGCCAGTTTAGGGCTTAATTAGGGTTTAGGGTTTAGGGTTTAGGGTTTAGGGTTTAGGGTTTTAGGGTTTGTTGCCACTTCAAAGCCGGGAGCGGATTGCCCCAACAGTGTCTTCATCCTAAGCGCACAAAAACTCAGACAATAGGCGATTGAGATGGATGGGCCAAGGATTGAAAGCATTCGCTGGGAAAATGAAAACATCCACACTGCTGCTAGTCCACAAGCGGCCAGGGGTCTTGAGTATATTGTATGCTGGTACGTACGTCCACCCGGCGCACGTGGCTAGCTTTGCACCTGTCCGAAAGCTTGGTTATGGGCGTGAGAAGCGATCACGCGACACTACTTTCTCATGGATACGATCATCCAATGCCCAATGTCCACTGAAAGAATGCGCTGAGCCTTGCTTGCAACAATGCGTCCTAAATCCCAAACTCACCAGAATCCGAAGCTCTGTCGCCCTTTCTCGCGCGGCACTTCCTACGCCTCCACAGCCCGCGGCACGTTTGTCCCCCATACTATTGGAAGTCTCAGGAAGCTGCCCTAAACCCTAAACCCTAAACCCTAAACCCTAAACCCTAAACCCTAAACCCTAAACCCTAATTTCAACGACCTCGGCTTCATGCGGCGGTTCAACTTTCAGATCAAGCGCTCCCAAAGCTTGGACCAACATGAATGACCACGACTTGGACGGGTCTGTTTAAGCTCGGCCTGAGAGTGACCGTGGGCTAGTGGGACGTTTCCCTACATCCTGAACCCTAAACTGACCCTAAACCCTAGAGCCTAAACCCCAGACCGCAGCTCTCACGCACTTTGGGCTCTTAAGATCGACCATGGGGCGCATGGATACTGGGACGTTTTGAAGTCAAGTTCAAGCTATCACTAAGCTTTGGGCTTCGGCTCAATGTCTCAAAAAGGTTGGGTTAGTATGAACAGACCTCGGAGGAATGGGACGGTCGAGCTTAAAATTGAACTGTCACGGAACTTGGACTGGTATGAACGACCCTTGAATACTCGGTCGTTTGACACGAAGTTCAAGCTCACACTGCCTGGGCTCGCAGGAGCGACCTACATAAAACTTTCATGAAACTAACAGGATTGGCTTTGGATTAAGGGCAATAGAAAGCAACAATAATGACTTGTGCTTAAAATACGAAATGCATGGTGAGCAACAACACCAGTAGAAGTAGAAGTAGAAGTAGAGGTAGAAGTAGAAGTAGAAGTAATTAGAAGTAGAAGCAGAAGTAGTAGTAGACGTCGTCGTCGTAGTAGTAGTAGTAGTAATAGACGTCGTAGCAGCAGTAGTAGTAGTAGTAGTAGTAGTAGTAGTAGTAGTAGTAGTAGTAGTAGTAGTAGTAGTAGTAGTAGTAGTAGCAGCAGCCGCCAACGCCCTTTGCAGCCGCATAGCGTGCATGAGTGCACTCCGATCCTAAGCCCATTTTCTTGGAGTTGCGCTCTTCGGCCTTATCGAAACCTGCCACTCCTCTCAACTTCCCGTGCCATGCCTTGTGCTCCACAAGCACTTGCACCACCTCCGCGTGGCCACACCCCGAAGCCAAATGAAGGGCGCCCCAGCCATCGCCATCTTTAGCATCCACATCAACCTGGTTCAGGCGGAAGTATGATACCAGCTCAAAACCAGAAGCGGACTGCGGCAACAGAGCACAAACGCCAAGTGCACACGAAGCCTCAGTTTACTAAGGAAGGGCAGAATAGTTCCCAAAATTCATTAGACTACTACCCTCTCCTACGAGCAGAGAGGCTCAGCCCACGCCTTGCTCTCCAGGAGCCTCCGGACCTCCATCAGCTTCCCTTCTCGCGCCGCCTCACGCAGCTCCTTCTCCATGGGAGCCTCCCAAGGCAGCACGACTTGGGGAGTTTTCAGTGGATCGCAAGGAGCTGGGCACGCACCTTTGCAGACACAAGCTCTGTCCCTGGGAAACGAACTACAGATAAGGATGTATATATACATATATATATATAGATCTACATTACTTTGTTTCTTGATTTGTATGTACATACACATAAATGCTGACCCCACCCCACGCCTCGACAGACACCCACTACAAATACTATAAACAGCGACTACAGCACGAGTTATCGAACATCCAAAACCGATGATTCCTGGAGGGGTGCCGATCTCTCCGGGTCAGCAGCTCCAAAACCAAAATGCAAAAAGCAAACAAAAACAAGTCCCAGGGAGAATCTTAGAACTCGTTTTGCTTGTTTGGCGTTTTTCTGTTTTGTCGCGAAGTTGACATGTTTGAGAGAAAACCGCTCCAAAGTAAAAACGCTCGAGAAAAAAACTGCTCTTGCCAGCCCCGAAACCAAAAAACAGTGCCCTGCCTTGTGCTCCACAAGCATGCGCTCTACCTTCGCGTGGCCACACTCCGAGGCCAATTGAAGGGCGTCCCGGCCGGCGTCATCTCTAGCGTTTATATTGACCTGGCCCCGGGCGAAGCACATGTTACCAGTTCGAAGGCCGGGAGCGGACTGCAGCCACGGAGCATAAAATCTACGTGCACAGAGTCGCAGTTTGCTTTGTAGGAAGGAACAGAAATGCTGATGACTCTAATGACTTTCGTGAGAACCCTTCCTTCATTCCAGCCCACGCCTTGCTCTCCAGGAGCCTGCTGACCTCCATCAGCTTCCCTTCTCGCGCCGCCTCACGAAGCTCCTTCTCCATGGGAGCCTCCCAAGGCAGCACGACTTGGGGAGTTTTCACTGGATCTCAGAAGAGCTCGCACCCTCCAACATGAGGACATAAACGGATTGCTACGACCGAATCGAGCTGTGCAAGAAAGCTTGTGTAGCCAGGAGGGGCACGCACCTTTGCAGACACAAGCTCCGGCCTTGGGAAAGGAACTACAGAGAAGGACATGTGTATGTTACGTATACACATACACATACCTATACATACACATATACACATACATACATACATACATGCATGCATGCATGCATGCATGCATGCATGCATACATGCATACATGCATACATGCATACATACATGCATCATACATGCATACATGCATACATGCATACATGCGTGTGTATATGTATGTATGTATGTATGTATGTATGTATGTATGTATGTATGTATGTATGTATGTATGTATGTATGTATGTATGTATGTATGTATGTATGTATGTATGTGTGTATGTGTGTATGTATGTGTGTATGTGTGTATGCGTGTATGTGTGTATGTGTGTATGTGGATCTCGCTTCTAGCTTGACAAGGCAAGAAGGTTCATCACGTTTGCTTTAGGCTTAAGCCCAGAAACTATCAAGTGGTCGGCCATGGTAGGCCAGACGCATCCGAATCGCATGTGTTTGCGTGCATGAGGCAGTGTCACCATGCAATTTCTGCTGAGAACAAGGATGTGTGATCCAATCCGGAACTGCAAACCCTCCTTGAGCTTACCGGCCTTTTGCCCACTCAGAAAAACAACGGCAGGGCCTCTTGATTCGAACCCTCGAGGATACAGTTCAAAATCGTGTTGCTTGTGTTGGCCCCGCAATGCTCGCGAGGCGTCCACGGTAAACGACACTCAAGCTTTGCTCCAGTGAAAGCATACGGCAATGCGACGTTCTCAGTTCAGGTATCACCCGGACTTGATGTCGAGCTGTGGAGAGAGGGATGATGTTGCGAAGATGTTGCTAGAGTTCGCCTTACCTGCTATCTGTGCCGCCGAAGGGACCGCGTCTGCTCCTGCACCGACTCATACGTCTCCTCCCGAGCCAATCCGAGCCAAGGCAGGAATGCTGTAGAGCTGCTGCGAAACGAACCACACGAACCCTGAGACCCCCATCCTGGACACGCTTGTGAACTCCAAACCCGCAAGATCAGATACATGCAGCAATAGCACTTCGGCTGCTCAAGCCTTTCCAGCTACCAGTATCCTGCTTGGGAAACCCCAAACCCTAAACCCGAAGTCAAATTCCACAGCCTGAAGCCACGCAAGCCCACCATGAACCGGTCAGGCTGTCGGGGTTTGGCTGTGGTTCGTAGTGGGTTTAGGGTTAACGGTCCAAGTCTTACGGAGGGGGTGGTGGGATACCATTTGTGGGGGGAGTGCGCGGTGCACGGGCACTCAAAGGCCACGATTGCTAGGCTTGGCTTGGGTCTCCTCGTTGGCCTCAACAATCTTCAAGATTTCGGCAGCCGCGTCCTTGCGGCTCTTCCTCAGTCAGGGGCGAAATGCTGCGAAGCTGCTGAAAGACTACAGCCCGCAAGGCCGAGACATCCAAAAATAAAATCTCCCCCCAAACACCTGAAACGCGAATGAAAACACCGCAACGCCCAAAACGGCCTCAAACCAAAAGTAGGGCGAAACCCTCAAGAGCCCACAAATTACCCTAAAGGCGAGGCTCGGTCTGGACTTCACCTTGGCCTTCTTCGCTTTCTGCTTCGGCGCGGGGTCCGGGCTCCTGTTCAGCCCAGGCTCAATTCAGTGCCCTGGGCTTTTCAGGGATTCGGGGGGTTTTGGGGGATCTTGGTGTTCGGGGTTTGGCGGTGTAAGGCTTACGGGGCTTGGGTGAGGGGGGGGGGGGGGGGCTTGGGGGGCGGGGGCTTGAGGGGCGGGGGCTTGGGGGGCGGGGCTTGGGCGGGGGAGGGGGAGTGGGTCTAGGGCTTAGGTCGTTAGGAGTACTGGGGTTGTTGGGGGCTGGGGAGGGGAGGGAGGGTCTTCGTTGACTGGACGAATGACCCATGAGGCGTTCCACGCTGAAGGCCGCGCCTGGATGTCGTATCCATCAAAGGTTTCAGATCCGATGAACCCGTGCCTTGCCTGCAAGCCAGAGGCCCAGAATTCCACAAGAAAACACGTCCAACAGCCCAAGTATGTTCATCAAGGATGCATCGGAAGGAATAATGAGCACCTATCAACATCATAAACCGTGCGGTTTTATAATGTATACAGAGGCGAGGACTGCATGGATAGATTTTGTTCAATCGTTAATCAAAGAAGAGATTATGGGCAAGATGAAGGAGGAGAAAAAGACACAATGGACAACAAAGCCACAAGAACAATATAAAAATATTTTACTTCGAACATCCCCACCCTCTCCTGGTAGAGATCAACACTCTGGGGCTGGGCACTCTGGGGACAGTCTGGGGTTGGGCACTCGAGGGAGACTCTGGGGTTGGGCACTCCAGGGAGACTCTGGCGCTGGGCAAAAACACGCACATTCAAGACGGGGAGCCGTTAGCAAGATGCTCGAAAACACGCACATTCAAGAGGGGGAGCCCTTCGCAAGATGCTCGAAAACCCGCGCATTCAAGAGGGGAAGCCGTTAGCAAGATGCTCGAAAACGCGCGCATTCAAGAGGGGGAGCCGTTAGCAAGATGCTCGAAAACACGCACATTCAAGAGGGGAAGCCGTTAGCAAGATACTCGAAAACCCGCGCATTCAAGAGGGGGAGCCGTTAGCAAGATGCTCGAAAACGTGTGCATTCAGGAGGGGGAGCCGTTAGCAAGATGCTCGAAAACACGCACATTCAAGAGGGGAAGCCGTTAGCAAGATGTTCGAAAATCTCTCGAAAACACGCACATTCAAGAGGGGGAGCCGTTAGCAAGATGCTCGAAAACACGCACATTCAAGAGGGGGGCCGTTAGCAAGATGCTCGAAAACGCGCGCATTCAAGAGGGGGAGCCGTTAGCAAGATGCTCGAAAACACGCACATTCAAGAGGGGGAGCCGTTAGCAAGATGCTCGAGAACACGCGCATTCAAGAGGGGGAGCCGTTAGCAAGATGCTCGAAAAACACGCACATTCAAGAGGGGGAGCCGTTAGCAAGATGCTCTCGAAAACACACACATTCAAGAGGGGGAGCCGTTAGCAAGATGCTCGAAAACCCGCACATTCAAGACGGGGATCTGTTGGCAAGATGCTCGAAAACATGCACGTTCAACAAGGGGAGCCGCTAGCAAGATGCTCGAAAGCACGCGCGTTCAAGAGGGGGAGCCGTTAGCAAGATGTTCGAAAAAGTCTCGAAAACATGCACATTCAAGAGGGGGAGCCGTTAGCAAGATGCTCGAAAACACGCGCATTCAAGAGAAGAGCCGTTCGCAAGATGCTCTCGAAAACACGCACATTCAGGAGGGGGAGCCGTTAGCAAGATGCTCGAAAACCTGCACATTCAAGAGGGGGAGCCGCTAGCAAGATGATCGAAAACACGCACATTCAAGAGAGGGAGCTGCTTTTCAAGATGCTCGAAAAACTCTTGAAAACATGCACATTCAAAAGGGGGAGCCGTTAGCAAGATGCTCGAAAACCCACATATTCAAGAGGGGAAGCCCTTAGCAAGATGCTCGAGAACACGCGCATTCAAGAGGGGGAGCCGTCAAGAGGGGGAGCAGCTAGCAAGATGCTCGAAAACCACACATTCAAGGTGTGGGGTTGGGCACTCTAGGGAGACTCTGGGGTTGGGCCTCTGGAATTGGGCACTCCAGGGAGAGTCTGGGCACTCCAGGGCTGGGGCTGGGCACTCCGGTTAGGGAGACTCTGAGGTTGGGCCTCTGGGGTTCTCTAATATTGGGACAGTCTTGAGTTGGGCACTCCAGGGACACTTCGGGGTTGGGCACTCCAGGGATGAGCGAGGAGAAGAGTTCCGGGCCAGGAGAAAAGTTCCGGGCGAGGAGAAGAGTTGAGTTTATATTCTAACAACCCCACACCGAGGATGGGGAAAAAGAAAAGCATGGCTTTTCTATGACTACTGTCGTTTTACGGGACAATATATAGGGTTGCCGCGCACAACAAGTGCAATTAGATTTGTGTTTCAAACGCTTGAAAACCCCAGTGCCTTTCATAACCCTGAAAATTTTGAATTTCACCCCGTAAGATCACACGTGGAGAAGTTAAATAAGAACAATGACAAAACAAGTGTACTAGCACAAAACAGCGAGAAGTTTGTAACAATCACGGTTGAGAATTGAGAGTTTAAGGACAGTTTTAGTTTCATACCGTCTTCATTGGACAACTTAAAGTAAAACTGTCCAAATACGCGACAGAATGGCAGAATGGATTTACCTTTAGCAAGCGAAAGCATTGCAACGGTTTAGATTTTTTCACGGAGTAGGTTAGAATGCTTTTGAGGGCTTTGGGCCGGGCTTCGGGCCGGGCTTTGGGCCGCTTCCGGGAGTTTGAAAGGGCTTTTTCGAGCTGCCCTTGCTTTCTTCGGCTCAAGGAGGTGGGGCCTGCCTTACATCCTGATACCCTTCAACCCTGAGACCCTAAATTGGCTTCAACACCCCGGAACCCTTAGACCCTAAACTGGTTCAAACGGGGTCTCAAGCGGGCTTCTAGGATTTTTACATAGGATTGTTAGGGTTTTAAAAATGGTTGAACATACAGAGCTTTCTAATGTTTACCGGGCTTAATGGGGTCTCAACTGGTCGCGAGGCCCCATTTCTTGCATGGCCGGGACTTGGAACCTGCAAACCCCCACGCCCTCCTGAAACCAGCCTTTGTCATGGTTAGGGTGAGGGGTAAGGTTTAGCTATTTTAAGCTTAGGGGTGTTGGTTTAGAGGATGGGTTTAGGGCTTAGGGCTTAGGGTTTGTCATGGTCTCCCCAGACGAGGAACTTCCCGGGCCTTGGGGGGAGGGGGAGGGGCTTTTGCATGAAGGTGCCCCCCCCTCCACCCCCTTCGCACGCAAATCATTCAAATTCGACGACAGTTGCGCCTGGTCACCGCGTCCATCAGAGGCGCCGGATCCGATGAACCGGAGGTGTGCCTTCAAACCACAAAACGCAATTTAACCCGCCTCCCAACATTACACACGCCTGCGAAGTAGCCCAAATGATGATGGCCGACATCAAAGGATACTGGGGGGCCGCGCTGTTAAGGGAGGGGGTGTTTAGGGGGTGGGAGCTGACCCTCTGTTCCTTATGTCCAGGGTTGTGCGGAGGACTAGGCAACTTGCTTTCCTGCCATGAGGAAGCCTCATGATGTATCAGGGGCTCTCCACCCTGGAAGGAAACGAAACCCTCAACTCAAGATCTTTGGCTCTGGAGCTTCTTCCTTCCCAAGCTCCTACACATGATGCGCATTCCTACAACGTCCGAGGGGCTGTGGGCCATCCGACCGCCCCGGATCATCCGCCATCGGGGCCGCAGACCGTCCCGTCTCCCGAAGTGAACCCCCACCCCCTCCTATCCTCAGCGTAGAATATAGGCGATCGTATAGAGCAGTGCGTAATGATGAGTTTCAGAAGGGGGCGAGGATTTAGAAAATACTCTTTGGGGGGAAGCCTCCGAAGGTTATGCGATTCCTTGCAACAGGGCCCTGAAAACATAAAGGCAGCATCTCAATGTCGGCCCTAACCTTCTACAAGGTGCCGTGTTCCGGTATGACCCGACTGCTACTCCGTGATATGTGGGTGTGAGCAACTGCCCCTAAATTCTATAGAACCCCAATGTTCTTACTGAGATCGTCGCAAAGACGTAAGTACAGCAATGCAGGATAATCATCACTTTAAAACAACACATGTTCCAACCAACCGTGTACAGCTACTCACGTGACGCTCGGCTTCGGCTGGCCACTGCACCTGCTGCTTGAAGTTCGCAACTGCGGCTCTTGGATGTGCTCGTGTGCACTTAGGGTTTAGAGGTTTTAGGGTTTAGGGTTTAGGGTTTCGGCTTCAAACCAGAGGACAAATGGTCGTGTTCCTTGCACCCACATAAACGCACCGGAGGCAGCAAAGCGTGCCACCAAAAACACCTAGTAATGCCTCGCAAGCAAGACAAAGCAGAGAAAGACATCGCGCCCCAACATCCATGCCTAATTTAATTCAGGACTCACGGCCGCCCAGAGGAAACAACTCCCAACCCCTACATATTGCATCACTGCTCGCAGTCTAAACAAGAGAAACTGCTTCTGCTTGCAACAGGTACCACTGGGTAGGATCCTCCTGGGGCACTTTTTACCCTGTGAATGTCCACTACTTCCGCAGAAGTGCGACGCAGAGGTAGATGTCCTTCGTCTACTCCTAGGCCAGGCTTGGGGTTCAACTTCGGTTCAACAAAGCTTCAAGGCTGAACAGACCTGACCCAATATGTTGTTCGCTTGCCTACTTGCTCTGTTCTGCAACCTGTTCGGAGTTTTACAGTTCCTATCGGACTTTCTGAGAAGTTGTTGGTTCCTATCAGCCGAGAATGCCGATCACCTGTGGGACAAGTGACAAGTACAGCTCTGCTCAAGTTGTTGCAAGCTGGGCGGCGAGTCTATAGCGGAGACAATGGGCTAATCCCAGAAACCCTAAACCCTAAACTAAACCCTAAACCCTAAACCCTAAACCCTAGAGTCTTGGGTTCAAGCTCCCGGGCATCTGGATTCAAGGTTTACCGCGAATTCTGCGGGGTTGGGGCATAAGTCTGAGTATGAACAAAACATAAGCCGCCGGACTCATATTCTAAGCTGGAAGACTCATTCACTGACAGACATACTATAGGGGCTTTCGGGTTTAGGGTTTGGGGTTTAGGGTTTAGGGTTTAGGGTTTAGGGTTTAGGGTTTAGGGTTTGGGGTTGAGGGTTTGGCGTTTTGGGGTTTAGGGTCGAGGCGAAGCTTAAGGGTTTTTCCGACTCCTGACAGACCTTCGGTAGAGGACCCGATCTCAGCCATTTCAAAAATGGCTTGTGCGGAGAGATGCAGACCTTCAATCGCTAAGGGCAAAGTACGTATGAGTGACCCGGTAGAACAGAGTTGTGGGGTATCTAATGGGAGCACTGTAGTGAAGAAACCTAAGACTAGTTAGTAGATGTTTGGGCTTTTCTATTAACCTTCATGCCTCATGTGGAAGACCTGCACCTCCCTTAGCCATACTCTGTTCTGTGACAGCTGCGTGCACCCTTCTTTTCGAATCCCCGTGGATCTCAAAGTTGACTAAGCAGATAGATGGGCACAGTGAATGGCCTAGAACGTGTAGCAGACATACCCACTCTTCACGGGCCCCAGAAAGCTTTAAAACCCCACACTCATCCACACTCTGAACCCGTACAAAAGGGGCCTAAATACTTACCAAGACTGCTTTCAGGGTTGCTCACTATAATTGTAGAATAAGGGGACCCACAACCCTATTCGAATTTTCAAGGCCCCTATGTTGCATCAGGATCCTTGTGACCCAGTCTCAGAGAGGGCCTGTTTTTTCGTTACAGTGTCGGGAATTTCTCGTTGCCAGCAGCCAAACACCCTAAGCCAAAATCCCAAACATCAAGCCTAAAACCTTACGGTGTGAGGTCAGCACTTGGGGGGGACCTCGAAGTCTTTGATTTGAGTTCTGATCTTGGGAGGATGCACCGCAGGTGGCCGCATAGCCAAGTAGCTATAACAGAGACGCGAGCGCAGTCAGCGGCCACCCTCAGGGTCCATGTACGCAATGACGCATCATACGCTCTCCACAAGACCAAGCGACAGTTGCTACTCTCCAACACCCCATGTGTCTAGTTGTTGAGTACTGTGGACCCTCAGGGATCTAACCTTCATGGTTTCATCACGAGGGCCCGGAAAATCTGACCACGTTCGCAAATCTCTTCAGCTGTACTGCAAAGCAGGCTGAGGTGCGCCAACCATAGAAACGCGATTCGGAACTTCGTCCAACTCCGAACACCCCAGCACAATCTCCGCCTGGCATAGCCACCCCCTATGATCCCATGTGATAGCCGGTTTTTCTGAGTAAGATCATAATTACAGCAAATAAACCCCCAGAAGGTGTATGTATGCACACTATCTATATGCATATATATATATATATATATACATACTACTGGTATGGAACTAGCTCCCCAACACCATAGTTAATAAGGATGGTCTGTTTGGGAAAGAGTACCCCAAAAAAGGCTGCACAATAAACTCCCTACATGAGGCCCACCGACGTGTCGAGACCGACGGGAACAACACCCTTTTGAGTGAGGGCTTAAGGGGGGGTCTAGGCTTTATAGGGTTTAGGGTTTAGGGTTTAGGGTTTAGGGTTTAGGGTTTAGGGTTTAGGGTTTAGGGTTTAGGGTTTAGGGTTTAGGGTTTAGGGTTTAGGGTTTAGGGTTTAGGGTTGAAAATTGCGATTGTGTGGGGGCTCCTTGTCGCGCAACTGCTGTACAGGTCTGCAAGCACCCAACAGCTAACGCCTACCTGCCCCCACAAGAGTCGAGGCAAAACGGTGCCTTCTAGGAGCCGTGACAGCATAACATCGGGGCCTCAATTCCTAGAGCAGGGTTTTCGGGCCCGTCATACTATAAGGATAAACCCCAAAGTATCTAGGCTCCTACAGTATGAAAAGAGAGGCTTTCAGACCTAGATAACAAAAGGCACCGGATTCAAGTTAGTCTGGAGCGACACCTCGATTCGAGGACTGCGCTTTTATCATGCTTGCGCCGTTGTTTAAACCGATAGTGGGGAACGACGGCAGAAGGCTGACTGACAGACCTTTAGTCCACCGCTGGCCAGCCAAGCTATCATACCAGCTGCAGCACACCATGCGAGTGATGCGGCCACGCTGTCTTTGTACGCCCAACGCCCGATGTAGACTCCGCAGAAGATGAACGCCAAGTACACGGCGTAGAGCACCAGAGACCTTCGCGGTCCGGTACTTGAGTTCACCACGTGCGTCTATGCTCGCAAATCTCGCAAGGTGTTTTGTGATGCAAGACTCTTTCGCGCGTTCTGGGGGGTGTCCATATATACGTACAACAAAACATGTAAGCCAGACTTGAGGACCCCAGCACCCCATATGTGCAAACCGCAACCCCACACCCAGAAACCTAAACCGTGGACTCTGTACCCGTGACCAAGAGACTGTGCCAGTCCGAATATGATGCTTTTTGGCAATGGGAACCGGCCAGCCAGAAGCATCGCGAACCTGGCTTCACAGCTCTGTGTCTCTGTCTGTGTCTCTCTCTCTCTCTTTCTCTCTGTGTTTGCTTTTTTACGGCTTCTGTCCCTTGGTGTGTGTGGTTGTGCAAAGCCTAGGCTTGAAGGTGCCCCCAACACCAACACCCTGGAAGAGTCAGGCGGAAGCCACCACGGTTTAAAGGGTTGCAGACGGTCAGCACTATCTATATCCATTTAGTTAAGTGTATTTATGTGTAACTCAATTTTATGATACAATATGACACGATCTGCTATATGATATGACATGATACGACATGATACGTCATAGTATGGAAGTATACGGTATGATATGATGCATAACATGATATGATACGGTATGACCTGCAATGCTATGGCATCGAATAATAAGATACCGTTCCGTATGATGTGCTTTGGTATGGCATGGTTTGTTGTGATATGATATGGTAAGCTGTGGTATGGCATGATATGGTATGCTGTGACAATATGTATGACATGATATGATATATATATATATATATATATAGATAGATAAGGTATATAAGTGTAGACATATGTATACACACAACACATGCATATGTGTGTATCAGTATATGTTCAAGCCTGTTTATGAAATTATATGTATGACCATCTATAGGTGTGTGTATATATATACACTATATACACATGTGTGGATAGTATAGGAGCTTATCCTACGGGGCCACACACACTCGCGACGACTTGCGCTGCCTCAACTGACTCAAACTCATGCACCGATGGTCATGAGGACACAAGGCTTGGAAAACTAAGTAAACCCAAGATACCGGCTTGAACACTTCATGTAAACAGGTACACCTACACCCTGTAACCCTAAACCTTAAAACCTGAAAATCCCTCGAACCTGAGCCGTAAGCCCTGAACCAGCCTCTACTTGCCACTAGAGGCTGCACATACTTGATGTTTCTAGGGCTTAGGGTAGAGAGGTGTCACGAGTGGGGTTTTTCGAACTCGAATTTTTGAGAGTTTGTATTATATGTTGGACGAGATTGGAGAGTTTGAAATTTGAGAAGCTTGGAGAATGAAGAGTTTGAAAGTTTGAGAGTTTCGAGTTTGAAAGTGGGCGCAAGTTAGGAGTTTGAAAGTTGGAATGGGAATCCAGCTTGGAAGCTTGAAGCGGCGGCAGAGCGTTGCGCGAGGGAGCAAGGTGAAGGACCGCTGTAGAACGCGTAGAAGCTCACGGAGCAGCCCGCGGGCTCGAGTTCGAAAGTTTGAGAGTAGGGTTTAGGGCTTAGGGTTTAGGGTTTAGGGTTTAGGGTTTAGGGTTTAGGGTTTAGGGTTTAGGGTTTAGGGTTTAGGGGAGCTTGGAGATTGAAAGTTTGAAACCTCGGGAGTTGGAAAGTTTGAAAGTTCGAAAGGTTCAAAGTTTGAAAGCTCGAAAGTTTCAAACTTTGGGGGGTTGAACGGTTGAAATTGCCAAACTTCGAAAGTTGGAAAGTTTGAGACGTGGAGTTCGACTGTTTGACATTTTCAAAGTCTGAGAGATTGGGAGTGTGAAGGTTTGTAAGTTGGAAGAGTTTGAAGATTGAATGCATTGAAAACGTGAGTTTGAAACCATGTTGACGTCCTCATTCTAGGCCCTGGGCTCGGTAACGCCAACATGCACACGTCGATGCTCGCAACACAAACGCCGATGCCCGTAACAAATCGTGCCGCCTGTGATGTGTGATCTCACACAACAGACACACGCCGATGCCCGTAACACATCGTACTCCCCGTGATGTGTGATCTCACAACAAACACATGCCGATGCCAGTAACAAATCGTACCCGCTGTGATTTGTGATCTCGCAACATACACAGGCCGATGCCAGTAACAAATCGTGCCCCGTGTGATGTGTGACCTGGATCTGACATCATACACACGACGATGCCCGTAATAAACCGTACCCCCTGTCCCATGTGATCTCCCAATAGACACACGCCGATGCCCGAAACAAACTACTACTATTACTACTACTACTACTACTACTACTACTACTACTACTACTACTACTACTACTACTACTACTACTACTACTACTACTACTACTACTACTACTACAATTACTGCCTGCTGAGCCGGTTTGCGCAAAATATATGGCGAACCGGTATATATGATGTTCGGAACCGCCAAATGAGGGAGCGTGTCTAAGATATATGTAATGAACTGAAATCAAAAAATGAGGGGGTGTGCTTGAGATATACGGTGAACCGGAATCGCCACAAGAGAAGGCGTGCTTAAGATATATGGTTGGCCGAAGGCACCAAATGACGAAGCGTAATGCAATGAACTGAAAACGCCAAAGGGGTGTGTATGTGTGTGTGTGTTTAAGATCGCCAACTGAAGGGGTGTGTTTACAATATATATATATATATATGCTCGCCCCCCCCCCCCCCATGATCCACACATTTGGCCTCGAGAAGGGGGTTTTGGGAGGGGCGGGACTCCAGACTCCAGATTTCCAGAAAAAATCTGGAGTACCCCCGGACTCCAGACTCCAGATTTCCAGAAAAAATCTGGAGTACCGGGCCCCGGACTCCAGACTCCAGATTTCCAGAAAAAATCTGGAGTACGGGGCCCGGACTCCAGACTCCAGATTTCCAGAAAAAATCTGGAGTACCGGGACCCTGGACTCCAGATTCTGGAGTCTGTAATCTGGAGTCTGGGGCCGCGGGTACTCCAGATTTTTTCTGGAAATCTGGAGTCTGGAGTCTGGGGCCCCGGGTACTCCAGATTTTTTCTGGAAATCTGGAGTCTGGAGTCTGGGGCCCCGGGTACTCCAGATTTTTTCTGGAAATCTGGAGTCTGGAGTTGGGGGCCCTGGTACTCCAGATTTTTTCTGGAAATCTGGAGTCTGGAGTCCGGGGCCCCGGGTACTCCAGATTTTTTCTGGAAATCTGGAATCTGGAGTCCGGGGCCCGGGTACTCCAGATTTTTTCTGGAAATCTGGAGTCTGGAGTCCGGTGCCCCGGTACTCCAGATTTTTTCTGGAAATCTGGAGTCTGGAGTTCGGGGCCCCGGTACTCCAGATTTTTTCTGGAAATCTGGAGTCTGGAGTCCGGGGGCCCGGGTACGCCAGACTTTTTCTGGAAATCTAGTGTTTAGGGTTTAGTGTGTAGGTTTCAGGGTTTAGTGTTTTGTGTTTAGGGTTGAGTGTTAAGTTTAGGGTTTAGGTTTTAGGGTTTAGGGTCAAGCGGCTCGGCTAAAACCCAAAAAACCCTAAACTCTGATATCCAAACAGTAAGCATCTGAAACCCCGATGGGTTTTTGGTTTCAGGTTTAGATTTAGTAGGGCTCGAGGTTCCGGCTTTGGGGTTTACTGTTTAGGGTTTAGAGTTTAGTGTTCAGGGTTTAGTGTCTAACGTTTAGGGTTTAGTTTGAAATGTTTAAGGTTTAGTTTTTGGGTTAAGTGCTAAAGTGTTTAGGGTTTCGTGCTAAGTGTTTGGGGTTTGTGCTAAGGGCTTAGTATTAAGCTTTAGGGTTAGTGTTTAGGGTTTAGTGTTAAGGGTTTCGGGTTTGGTTTTTTAGGGTTAAGGGTTTTAAGGATTTTTACAAATTTAAATGACCTGGGGAAGGCAACTGTGCTTCTCCAGACCATTGACAACTTGAAAATCCTTCTGTTTAGGGTTTAGGGTTCAGTTTTCAGGGTTTAGTGTGTAGGGTTTAGTGTGTAATGTTTAGGGCATAGTTTTTAGGGTGTAGTGTTTAAGTGTTTTGGGTTTAGTGTTTAGAAAGGGATTCGTGCTTAAGTGTTTAGGGTTTCGTGTTCAGTGTTTGGGGTTCGTGCTAAGGGCTTAGTGTTAAGCTTTTAGGCTTAGTGTTAAGGGTCTACTTCTGAGTGTTTAGGGTTCAGTGCTAAGGGTTTCGGTTTCTTTTTTGGGTTACGGGTTTTAAGTGTTTTTACTAGTGTTCAGGGTTTAGTGTGTAGGGTTTAGTGTGTAATGTTTAGGGTTTAGTTTTTAGGGTGTAGTGTTTAAGGGTTTAGGGTTTAGTGTTCAGGGTCTAGTGCTTAAGTGTTTAGGGTTTCCTGTTAAGTGTTTGGGGTTTGTGCTAAGGGCTTAGTCTTAAGTTTTTAGGGTTCGTGTTTAGGGTCTGGTGCTGAGTGTTTAGGGTTTAGTAGTGCTTATGTGTTTAGGGTTTCGTGTCAAGTGTTTGGGGTTCGTGGGCCTAGTGTTAAGTTTTTTAGGGTTACTCTTTAGGGTCTAGTGCTGAGTGTTTCGGGTTTAGTGTTAAGGGTTTCGGGTTTGGTTTTTTGGATTAAGGGTTTTAAGGATTTTTACTAGTGTTCAGGGTTTAGTGTGTAGGGTTTAGTGTGTAATGTTTAGGGTTTAGTGTTTAGGGTTTAGTTTTTAGGGTCGGGTGTAGTGTTTACGTGTTTAGGGTTTAGTGTTTAGGGTCTAGTTAAATGTTTAGGGTTTCATGTTAAGTGTTTGGGGTTTGTGCTAAGGGCTTAGTGTTAAGTGTTTAGGGTTAGTGTTTAGGCTTTCATGTTAAGTGTTTGGGGTTTGTGCTACGGGCTTAGTGTTAAGTTTTTAGGGTTAAGGGTTTAAGGGTTTTTGCAAGTTTACATGATCTGGGGAAGGCACTGGGGCTTCCCCAGACCATCTAAACTTTGAAAATCCTTAAAATCTTATAAAAATCTTTAAGCTTCTGTTTAAACATTCTCAGGATTTTGAAGGTTTTAAGGCTGTTAAGCCTATTAAAGACCTTAAATTGCTTACGTATTTAAGTGGCTGCCCTTTGCGGATTTTAGAGATTTTTGAAGTTGCCAATGGTCTGGAGAAGCCCCGGTGCCTTCCCCAGACCATATAGATTTTTACAAATCCGTAAAACCCTGAAATTCTTGCAGTTGTAAATGGCTGTCCTTTTGAAGTTTAAAGTTTTTAGGATGTTCGATTCTAAAATCCGTAACTTCCTTAATTTTAAACGGCTCCCCGTTTTTAATTTTTAAGGAATTTTAGACTTTTAAGGGATAAACGCTTCGAGGTTTTTAAGGGCTTTAAAGCCTTTTAAGATCCTCTAAATCTTGAAATTTTTGAAAGGCTTTAAGTACCTTAAAACCCTTCAAATTTGAAAAGGGCTGCCCCTTTAAAGGATTTTTAAAATTGCAAATGGTCTGGGGAAGCCCCGGTGCCTTCCACAGATCATCTACATTTTACAAACCCCTTAAACCCTGAAAAGCCTTAAACTTCTAATTGCTACCCTTCTAAAATTTCATGGGGCCGCAAGACACAAGTTTCAGAAGCAAAATGCCCATAAAAACACTAGTGTTTTTATAGAGGATAATATACTAGAGCTTTTTGTATTCCAGTGCAGTTTTGACTGCATTTTTCCGAGGAAAAAGCAGAAAATCAGACAAAGACGAAGACAAGAAAACCATAGGTGTGGATCATGGGGGGGGGGCTGACCATATATATATATATATATATATATACATATACGATGTGCCGGAATTGCCAAACGGGGGGCGCAATTAAGATACATGGTGAGGCGCTATGATGACCGGAATCGCCACGTGAGACTCACATGAGGGTGGATGCTTAAGATATACGGTGATCCGGAATCGCCACAAGAGAAGGCGTGTTTACGACACAAAAATCAGCTTGCGAACAACATCCATACACGTGACTGCACGTCGGGCCCTTCAAACTCTGAAACTTTTTTTGAATCTCGAACTTTCGATCTACCCTATACCCTAAACCCCAAACCCTAAACCCGAAACCTAAACCCTAAACCCTAAAAAAAAGTCTCAAACTTTCGAGCTCGAAACTCGGGGCGGACGTTCGAACTTTCCATCTGGACGCGTTTCAAAACCTTCAAACTTTGCAAGCTTTCTGAACTTTCATCCCTTTCAATCTTTCGATCTCTGAAACATTCAAACCTTGGAACTTGAGACCTTTCGAAGCTTGTAACCTTCGAACTCTCAAACTCGCGACCTCAGCCACAAGCCGCAGATCGAATCTGCAGCCAGCCTTTCAAACTCCAAACCTTCAAACTTGCGAACTTTCGAGCTTTCGAACTTTCAAACTTTCGAACTTTAGAAGTTTGAAACCGTCAAATCTTCGAAAGTGCAAGCTTTCAAAGCCTCAAACTCTCTAACTTCGAAAGCCTATCGAGCTCGACTGCGGAAAAAGGTTTGAAGTTTGAGTTAGAAGCAGGCAGCCGAGCTCGAAAGGGTTTAGGGTTTAGGGTTTAGGGTTTAGGGTTTAGGGTTTAGGGTTTAGGGTTTAGGGATTAGGGTTTAGGGTTTAGGGTTTAGGGTTTAGGGTTTAGGGTTTAGGGTTTAGGGTTTAGGGTTTAGGGTTTAGGGTTTAGGGTTTAGGGTTTAGGGTGTTCGAGAGTTAGAGAGAAAGTTTGAAGGTTTCGAGCTTGAAAAGTTCGAAGGTTTCAGAACCGGCTAGCTTGTGCATAGCAGGGTGCACAAGCTTTCGAACTCTCAAGTACTTTTCGGACCTTTAAAGCTTCAAAGCTTGAAACTTTCCAACTTCAACCTCCAAACTTTGAAACTTTCAAACCTTCGAGTTCGAACGACCTCGCTCGGGACACCATTCTTTAAGGTATTGGGGGCCGCTACGAATAGGGTTTAGGGTCCAGGGCCCCGAATTTTCTGGAGCTGCATTGGAGCCAGCCAGAGTCTATTCTGGGACTTTTATTGCGCAAGCCTCTAGAAAGCCAAAGCCCCCAAACCTCAAACCCCCAGTCCCTAAGCCCAAAACCTTCGCAGTCATGGTAATGTAGGGGCCTTGATGATTAGAATAGGGTTTTGGGGGCCCATTCTACGAGAAGTATAACAAGGAGCCCCCCCAAAATTGTATACCCTAAACCCTAAACCCTAAACCCTAAACCCTAAACCCTAAACCCTAGATGGAAAGCCGAGCAGTCCCCAGGCTGCCGAGCAGCTGCGCACCGATGATCCACCATAAACCAAAGAGTCCAAGGCTCACCCCGGAGCCTTAGGGTTTAGGGTTTAGGGTTTAGGGTTTAGGGTTTAGGGTTTAGGGTTTAGGGTTTAGGGTTTAGGGTTTAGGGTTTAGGGTTTAGGGTTTAGGGTTTAGGGTTATCCTTTGTCCCACTACTTAGTGCTCAGTTTTGATAGTCAGACTCGAAAATACAGCCAAAAAGTACGACTGGGAAGCCTAGCAGCCTAAAGAGACCCCTAAACCCTAAACCCCTAAACCGTAAATCTCTAAACCCTAAACCCTACTAAACCCCTAAACCCCTAAACCCAACTTCTCCCTAAGCCCTAAATCCTAAAAAAAAAAAGGGGGGGGCGGAAAGGGCACTACTGTAGGAGACCCAGCAGCCGTAGGACACCAAATTGTGAATGGGAGCCCCTCCTCGCACTTGGGCTGCCAGAGCGTCCATTCCTGGAGAGTTTGGGGTTTATGAGAGTTTGGGGTTTGGGAGAGTTTAGGGATTAGGGTTGTAGGAGGGTTTAGAGCTTAGGGGAGTTTAGAGTTTAGAGTGTTAGAGAGTTTTGGTCTACTTGGAGGCGGTTTTGGGTAGTGATAAGTTGGGGGGGGGGGGGGGTGATAACTAGGGTTCCTTTGAGGGTTCTATAGGGTTTAAGGTTACCCAAGCGTCCATTCCTGGTGTTTAAGGTTTACATTGTCACAGGTAGCCCACCAAACCTACAGCTGCCTGGCTCCCTAATATAAATTCCGGGGCCGCACACACACACATATACATATATATATATATATGTATCCACAAATGCGCAATTAGACATTGAAGCTAGTTTCTGAGTAGGCCGAGACGGATAGTGGCAAAGCATGGCTAAGCATTCCCTCATCGGAGCACAAGTCTGCATCCTAAGGCTCTTCACCTCAAAGCACAAACCATGCTCATTTTGCGGCGGCTTACCTAGCGTCATCATTGGGGTCGCGATCAGCAGAGCATAGTTCCACGGAAGGCCAGTGCCCAAGTGATTCGCCAGCAGCTCGTCACGAAGAGGCCCTCGAACATGGGCCGTGAAGGCGTCTAGGCTTCCTCCAGCTTTCAAGATCCGACATCCCGAAAAGGAATTACCATGGAGCCTATGGGTAAAGTCCTAAAGACCTGAAGCCCTAAACCCGAAAGCCCCAACTATGGCGCTGCACAACCCCTAAACCCTAAAGCCCAAAACCCTCAAGACCTGAATGTCGAGCTACACAACCCTTAATTAAACCCAAAAGCCTAAACACCCCCAAACCCTGACTGTGTCGAGCTAGCTACACAACCCTTAAACCGCATGGCTACTATGATAAACCCCTAACCCAAACCCTAAACCCTAAACCCCTAAGCCCCTAAAACCCTAGCTGTCGAGCTACCGTACCAGTTCTCGATGGCGGCGTAGATGAACTCCTGGTCGCTGGCCTTCCGACATCCCGCGGCCGAGAGCTCGAAGGTGGCAAGGTCGTAGAAGACCTGGGGCTTAGGGGTTTAGGGTTTGGGGTTTAGGGTTTAGGGTTTAGGGTTTAGGGTTTAGGGTTCAGGGTTTAGGGTTTAGGGAAACCCGAAACCTGCTTCTTCATTGATTTGTCCGGAGCTTTGTATTCACAGCGCCTAACATCGCATTGCATGACGCTACATTACACTGCAACACCACTTTACCTTGCCCTACCTACCTTCCCATACCCCACATTACATAACATTACAGTGCAGTATATTGCAGTAAATTGCAGTACATCAAAATCTGTTGCATTGTGGGAAACACCACATGGCATGGCCTTACGTTACATTAATTTAGATTGCGTTACATTACCTTGGTCTGAATAATGGCATCATTGACATGACCTGCCGTGTCATGACGTGGCGTTCGCATACGTTCGATTACGTTGACATGTACATGTACAGGCACTTGCATGCTTAATTAACACATTACACTATTGCATACACGTACAAAAAGGACAGATAACAAAGACGAACTAACTAGCTGATCTGCTTCGCTGTTTCTACATGTATGAATTTGCATTTGCACCCACGCATACATACTTATGTACATACGTACGTACATACATACCTATACACACACTAAACATACAATATACATACATACATACATACATACATACATACATACATACATACATACATACATACATTCATACATACATACATACATACATACATACATACATACATACATACATTAAAACACATACAGACAGACCGACAGACAGACAAGCACGGACGCACGGACAAACAGCCAGAGAGGCAGAGAGGCAGAGAGGCAGAGAGGCAGAGAGGCAGAGAGGCAGAGAGGCAGAGAGGCAGAGAGGCAGAGAGGCAGAGAGGCAGAGAGGCAGAAAGGCAGAGAGGCAGAGAGGCAGAGAGGCAGAGAGGCAGAGAGGCAGAGAGGCAGAGAGGCAGAGAGGCAGAGAGGCAGAGAGGCAGAGAGGCAGAGAGGCAGAGAGGCAGAGAGGCAGAGAGGCAGAGAGGCAGAGAGGCAGAGAGGCAGAGAGGCAGAGAGGCAGAGAGGCAGACAACAGGCAGACAACAAACAGACAAAAGACGGACGGCCGGACGGACCGACGGACGGGCGGACAGACGGACAGACATACAGACGGACACAGACATACATCACCCACATGCCCTTGTTTGCAACCTCAAACTCAAGGGGCAACATTTCACCTGAGATGCAACCCTAACCACCCACCCCTGCCGTTTGAAAGAAAAGATCGCCAGGCCTGGCGCTTTTGAGACAAGTTCTTCCGGAGCAGGTGGAAGACGACGAAGAAGGGAACCAGGGCAACCAACAAAGTAATGAGACTCTCCAATCCTCCCAATCGGGTTTGGGTTTCGGGCATGGTGTCTATGGGCTTGGGATTTAAGTTGCATTTCGGGTGTGTGGGTTTAGGGCTTTTGCCTTCTGGCTTTCTGGGCCATTGGGGGAGAAGGTTTCTTTGTTGGGTTCACAATTCCGACATCCCGACAAGAGCACTTTCACCAGCCCGAGATTGAAGGTTGAACACTGATGCTTGCCACAATACCCATAGGAACAAATCCTTTCGCTTTCGGGTATACATTCACCGAATCAGAACACGGAACCCTTAACGGTACATCCCAAACTCTGCCCCTTTAGGGTTTAGCTTGGGATCCAAAAACCTACCGTTTCAAGGGTTCTACCCTCGAATCAAGGGATCATAACCTATTATTTTGTAGGGTTTGGGGTCACAGGTAGGGTTCAGAGGTTTCCAGCATTCCTACATCTTGCCTCGCCAGAGCCTTTTGGGTCATCTGAACAGTGGGTATTGAGATACGAAAAAGGTACCTAGATGTCAAACTACCCAAACTCTAAATCCTAAAACCCCACAACCCAAAACGCTAAACCCACCCTAAAACCCGACTGATAGCCCGAAAACCTGAAACCCCAAACCCAAAACTCTAACTTTCCGTGACCTGGGTTGGAGCTTCAAGCGACGACATCCCTGCCCAAGGCCTCATTCATCAACCAACTGTGTGGTCCGGATCCTATAGTACGAACAAATTCATCCCAACAGGAACTACGATGTTATGGAGACAATCCAAGCAGCTCCGCAGCCTGTGAATCCTGCGCAAACCAGGCCCAAACCCTAAACTAAACCCGAAACAACAAACCTTAACATGCAAAGCCTAACACCGGAATTCCCTGCAGCTGCCTAGGGTGGCGATCACGAGAACATAGATGACAAGGGCCACTGTGGCACCCAGCCAGACAGAGGCGACCGCAGTTTCCACGAACCTTGACG